TTAGACTTAGACTACGTGAGCTCGTACATAAGCTCGTACGTGAGGCTATACGCAAGGCTGTATAAAATGGAGAGGCTATACAGCCTCTCCATTTTACGGCGCATCCTTTCCAATTTGTATAGCCTTACGTACGGCCTCGCGTATAGCATCACGTGTATATAAACGTATAGGTGAATACCCGGAGGAAGCTCCGCGCTGCTCCGAGCCAATAGGGAGGCGGTGAAACGACTAGAGGGGGAGGGGGTGTGCGAATAGCGAAAAGGGGGTGTGCGTGGAGGAATTAGGGGGTGTGAGATTATCAACGCCCAATATTAAAAGAAAGGTACGTGCGCTTGCTTAAGGAGTTACTAAGCTTACAACTAATATCTTATTAGAAAGCTATATTAGAGGCTATTAAGAAACTATAAAAAATAAGTAGAAAAAAAGGAAGCAGCAGGTACCTTTCTTTATATAATTAGGGGCTTAAGAAGGTGGTAGTGCTATATTTTGGTCACCTACTAAGGTGCGCTAAGCAAGAGACCTTCTTTAAGAAAAGGAAGATATAAAGGTATATAATATAGCTTCTAAGGCAGAGGAGAAGGTACAGAAGCAACTAGCTAAGGAAGAAAAGAAAAGAAATCTAGAGCGGAACTGTAATTAGAGGGCTATTATAAAAAAGCAAAAGAATAATACAGAGGTTCTTAAAGGGTAATAGATAGAGGAGGCACGTAAGGTGGAGCAACAGCTTAAAGCAGGGATGCAGGCAATGCAGCAGAGGCAGAAGGTTAAGAAGGTTGTATTCACTATTCCTGAGGAGCCTACTGTTGAGCAGAATTATGGTGTTGAAAATGGGGTAGCCAAATCAGCTTCTAGCCGGCCTCAGCGATTGCGCATCACCCCTAAGCGATATGCCAACTCTATAATTACAATAGAATGAAAGAGCGACCCTAGTTGCCTTTCCTCCTTGATTTCTGTGTATAGATCTCGTTGTGTTGTGTTGAAAAGCTTCATGTTGTGAGCCGTGGATTTCTTGGTGAGGCGTGCACGAGGTGTCAGCGTGCACGAGCCGTCGAAGTCTTCTATATACGGCTGCAGTAAATGGGAAGAATGCATAGTAAAACGGGTATGCTGCACAGCCTTGCCTTACGTATAGCTACGCCTACGGCTCGCTGGCGCGCTGGCGCACGTGATAACAGTGAATGAGCGGAGCTTCCTCTGGCCTCTCCGGGCCAATTAGATCGTGGTGAAGTGACCGGGGGAGGGGGGGGTGTGCGTGTAGCGAAAAGGGGGTGTGCGTGGAGTGAAAAGGGGGTGTGTAGTTAGTAACGCCCTATATTATCCTGTATTGAAAATTGAGCTAGTCGTATAGTATTATACACTATACCCGAAAAAAATCAAAGTGTGGCGTGGGTTTCTAGAAGTGTCCTCTTACACTGCTGCCTAGCGCGGCCGTGCTAGTTCAGTTTATCCGGCCCTTCCCCGCTCCCTTCAGTAAGCCTTTCTCACTCCGTCCCATTCAGTTGTTTTCTTTGACTGGACTGATCTATCAATTCAGTGCTCCAGGCAGCCGACACCCGCATATGGCAGACACCAGCAGCAGCAACAACCCACGAGGTCACCGCAATGCAGTTGCAGGTCGCACAAGAGGCCGCGGTCGCGGTGGTGCAGCGGGCGAAAGTCCTGGTCATGGTGCTCGTCGAGGTCGGTGGCCTAAACCAAGAGCCCCTGGTCGTGGGAATTCCGCCGTAGGTGGTGGTGGTCGGGGAGCTGCTGATGCAAATTCCGACCGAGGGGATGATGGCGGGAGAGGAGGACGGGGAAGTGGATCTGGTCTTGGTAGGTCCACGGCCTCCGTTAGAGGATTTCCACAACGTCGTGGCCGTGCTACTGAGATGGGAGGCGAGAGGAACTGGACACCCAGGTCAGTAGTTGTATCATGAGTGGATGAGGCATCTAGTCCCAACAAGAAACTCTAAGCAGAACCTCGAGTCGACCTGCCACATCGAACAGCTTCAACAGCTTCAACAACTTCAACCAGCGGACAGCGTCAGAACTATCGGGGGCTCAAATGCAAGAATTCCTTCAAGCAGGCCTCTCGGCGGTCACTATCTCCACAGAATCAAGACAAACGTTTGTCAACAACCTCGCCACTGAAGGCGGCCTCGCCCGAATCCGACAAATCGTCGAAACAGACTTCTCCACGTCCTACAGCGTTCTAAATCCCATGTTCGACCCTCATTGCATCCTGTTTCTTCACCTTATCTCGCACGAGGAGATTAGGTACTCGCTTGTATTCGAGAAAGCGGTGGGAACTATATATAATGTCGTTTATGGACACGATGGTAATAGGGGGGTTGAGTTTTTTAGGAAGATAGCGAACTGTTTAGTTCAGATATCTGAAGTGGAGGGCGGGAACGGGAGTATTGCTAGGGATAAAGTATTACAGGTTGAAGAGGCATTGTTGCTGGCAACGAAGGCGCTGCTCAGTACCTTGACGCTGAACCAAGGGGCTGCGATCAAGACGGAGTTTAGAGGGGTCGTCGAACAGCTCTGCGGTTGTTACCATGTCGAGGACATTAACCGTGATCTTGTGAGTCTCGACGTCCGTTCTGCACATGAGAATATCCTCAAGATCAAAGACATACTTTCCATGGGGGACACCATCTCTGCCTCCAACGCAGCTAACATTCGTACCACAACTACTTCTCGACAGCAGCAGCCGGAATGGCGCCCTCCCGAGCTCGATGTCGATCTTCCTGGCGAGCTCTCCCAACTCGGTCCCCGCCATGACAATGACCGCGCACTCATCTCGGATATTAGAATCTTACCCACGCTCTCCGAAATCCTCTGCGATCAGCGACTAGATTTCCTTCCCACGCGACATAACCCCAATTCCCCATCCAAACATCACGAAACGGGTATCCTTCGACTCCTTGACTCCCAGTTTCGCCTTCTACGAGAGGATACTTCGGGTTTACTCCGTGACTCCATCCGCTTGATTTTAGAAAATTGGAACATCCTTGTTCATAATCCCGATTGGCGAGTCAAACGCAAAATTCTGCGCGATGGCAGTCCAACTCCTGTTCGGATCTACTCTAACGTTGAGATCCAACGAATCAAGTCTGACCCGATAAAGGGAGTGGAGATTGAGATAGAATTCGACCAGGTCCGTGGGGCAGGGAATTCAAATTTGACGAGGAGAAAACAATGGTGGCGCGAGTCCCGGGGGTTGAGGGAAGGGGGGGCAATATTGGCCGTCATTAATGGAGAAGAGGAGGAGGATATGACTGTGATTTTCTTACTAGTTTCAAAGAGGGAGATTTGCGCCTTAGACCATGATGAGCAGCACAGTCCCTCGGGAATCCGACATGTTCGCGATCTAGCAAGCAATGCTAAAAGAGCGATGATTACACTTCGCCTAGCGATTCCGACCTGCGAGGTCGATCTGTCCAATCTTGTCTGCCTAGCCAGCAACAACAGACGCTCATTTTCGTCATCCAGACCACTCATCCTCGTTGAGTTTCCCGCTGTGTTATATAATTCCTTCGAAGGAGTTCTGCGATGTCTCCAATCTCTACACAAGGACCCAGCTTATATTCCATTTACTACCTGGTTAGCTCCCCGTGAGCACGACAACACATTTACTCAGGACCCAGCGACAACCTATACTGACGGAAACATCATTGTCCCTCCACCCGCATACCTTCTAAACAACGCTACTCTCGACCTCTCCTGTATCCCCACATCCGCGAACAATAACAGCAACAGTACCACCACACCACTAACTATCTCACTCTCCCACGATCCCCACATGTTATCCACACAGCTCTCGGAAGTAACAACTCTGGATACCGGCCAGGCGATTGCGATGATTTCAGCGTTGAGGCATGAAGTAGCACTTATCCAGGGTCCTCCAGGGACTGGGAAGTCGTATGTAGGAATACAGATCGCAAGGTGCTTGTTGAAGAATAGGGACTTGTTGGGGCTAGGGCCGATTTTGTGTGTGTAAGTTGCTTTGGTTGTAATTCTATCATCCTTGATTATTCAGTCAACAATCCTAAATTCACTTCCCCATCCATTAATATCTAAGAATTAAAACAGCTAACTGAACTTGCGTAGCTGCTACACCAACCATGCACTCGATCAGTTTCTCCATGAGCTTCTCAATTCCGGCGTCACCAATATTTTACGAATTGGTTCTCGTAGTCCATCTCCCCGTCTGGAAGCCCTTTCACTCGAAAACTACAAGAAAAATGGACAAATCCCACGTATGAAAGGTTTGGGGAAGAGAATAAGTGATTGTCGGGCGAGTTTGGAGAAGTTGAGTGCGGAAATTCAGAAGGTGTGCAGACAGGCTGAAGAGAGTAGTGTGGGGGTGGTGAAGGAGTTTTTGAAGAAGAGGTTTCCAGTACAGGCGGAGGGCATATTTGGTGGCAGATCTGAAGGGGTGGGGGTTAGCCTTGACTTCGAGTTGGGGGATGATGCTGCGATGGAAACTTGGGTTTCCGGTGACGCACCTGGTGACTGGAGCGGTAGTGACGTCGAACGCTCTATCGACCAGCTGCTCCTTGTGGAGATCTGGACGCTGACGAACTCGGAGCGCTCTCGTCTATACCAATACTGGCACAACTCCGCTTTCGCTGAACTTTCGCAACAGTTCCACGACCTAATGCAAAGACACTCCTCGGCGAAGCAACTATACACATCTCTATTCAACGCATCATATACGCAATTTCTCGACCGATTTCATATCGTGGGAGTAACAACCATCGGCCTGGCAAATAATTCTGAACTTTTGCGTGGTCTTCGCGCTAAGGTTCTGATCTGTGAGGAAGCTGGAGAGGTGCTGGAAGCGCATGTTCTCACTGTGCTATTGCCGTCGATTCAGCATGTGATATTGATTGGGGATCATCTTCAATTGCGTCCACGAATTTCGAACCTTAAGCTCTCGATGGAATACGACCGCGCAGGGCCCAAATACAACCTCGATGAATCACTATTCGAACGACTGGCCAACTCGCATTTCGGAGACTGGAACATGAGCGGAGGAGAGGGAAAGAGAGGGGGGGTGAGCCGATTTCCTATCGCGCAGCTAGATCATCAACGACGAATGCATCCTACAATCTCCACCCTCGTTCGCGAGACTCTTTACCCTCACCTCCGAGACCACCCCGACACGACCTCCTACCCTAAAATTACCGGTATGAAACGTAGGTTATTCTGGCTTGACCACCGCAACAGGGAAGACGCCGGTGATCCTGAAGAGCCGATGCAAAGTAAGACGAATATGTGGGAGGCCAAAATGGTGACGGCGTTGGTGAGACATCTCTGTAGACAAGGGAAGTATAAGCCTGGTGAAATTGCAGTGTTGACACCTTACGTGGGGCAGTTGAGGATATTGAGGGATATGTTGGGGGAGATGGTGGAGCTGATTATTGGAGAGAGGGATTTGGCGGATCTAGATACCTCAGAGGTGGAGGTGGATGGGAGAGACAGCGGTGGTAGGAGGGAGCGGCCGCCGCAAGGGCGACAGCAGCAGCAGATGGTGGGAAAAGGGAAGTTGCTGGATGAGTTGAGGATGGCTAGCGTGGACAATTTTCAGGTAAGAGAACTTGCAACTCAATTGTCTTGGGCAACTAAATACCCACACTACTTGTTTGTCAGGGCGAGGAGGCAACCGTCGTTATAGTCTCCCTAGTACGAAGCAACATATATCAAAATTGCGGGTTTCTCAAGACGCCTAACAGAATCAACGTTCTCTTGAGGTAAGCGTTGGGGCTTCCTGGTCTACACCTGCTTATCCAATGATAAGTCAGTAACTTACCTCTTACTTCCAGTCGCGCCAAACACGGTATGTACATAATTGGCGACGCCAATACCTCCTCCCGCGTCCCAATGTGGTCATCCGTCATACAACTACTAGAAAAAAATGGCAATATCGGTCCAAAACTAGAGCTCCACTGCTCCCGTCACCCCAATAACAAAATCTACGTTTCCTCCCCTGACGACTTCGCCATCCATGCCCCAGAGGGTGGATGTGCGGAGAAATGCGGGTTGAGGTTAAGCTGCGGACATAGTTGCGCGGTTAAGTGCCATTCCACGACGCTGCATAAAGCAGTTAAGTGTATGGAATTGTGTACAAGGGTGAGGGAGTGTGGACATTTGTGTTCGAGGAAATGCAATGCCCTGTGCGGAGAATGCCCCGAAAAGGTCCTAGATGTTGTGCTTCCATGCGGACATACGGCCAAAGAGGTGGAATGCCAACATATGGGGAATCTTGCCGGCGTGAAATGCGAACAGCCTGTGGCGCGAGAAATGCCCGGCTGCGGCCATAATATCACGATACGGTGTCATGAAAACACGAACGATATCAGATGCTCGCATCCATGCGATAGCCTCCTGCCTTGCGGGCACAGTTGCCGAAAGCCGTGCTGGAGGTGCAGACAGATTGATGATCACGGTTCTTGCAACATTCCCTGCGGACGATTATTCACGACCTGTTCGCACACCTGCGGTCAACCATGTCATTCTAGCACTTCTTGTTCTCCCTGCAATCGGCCCTGTGACGTACGTTGCAGACATAGCAGATGCCCCAAGACGTGTAGCGATCCGTGTCCCCCTTGCGCAGAGCAATGTGGATGGAATTGCGGTCACCGGCGCGATCGCTGCAGTATGCCGTGCGCGGTCCCATGTGATATCATTCCTTGCGATCGTCGCTGCGAAAAGAAGCTGGTAGCTTGTGGACATCAATGTCCAGGGGTTTGTGGGGAGCTGTGTCCAGATTCCAAGTTTTGCCAGATCTGCTGTGCGCCGGATATCCTTGAGCAAAATGTCGATTTTATTATGTTTGAGAAATACGGCCAAATCGAGATTGACGAGAATCCATTAATCTTCCTCTCCTGTGGACACTTTTACACGGTTTCCAGCCTTGATGGCATTATGGAACTGACTCAACACTATGTCACCGACTCCCGAACGGGCAAGGTCGTCTGCCCAAAATTGTCGCAGCGGGTAGTAACTTCCGGGAGCGCGCCTAAAGGATGCCCAGAATGTCGCATGCCACTTAGAGATATCGACCGCTATAACCGGATTATTAAGAAAGCATTGCTGGACGAGGCAACGAGGAGGTTTGTCGCACAGGCGAATTTAAGGTGTGCGGAGTTGGTGGAGGAGATTCAGAAACGAGAGATGAAGATTGAGGGTGAGAGAAGGGAGTTCATGCTGGAGTGGTCACAGGCAGTTGGTGAGTCCAGGGACTTGGATCAAGTCAAGAGTTCCCTGAAGGCGTACCAAGCAGAAGGAACTCGGCTCCAAAAATATATCAACAAATTCACCAAATCTGTGGCGAAGACAGAGCAGCCGTTTGGGAGGGTGAATAGTATATTCGCCTCCGCAGTCGCTAGACAGCGGAACATAACAACAAATGCCTTCGAGCTTGATGAGTCGGTCATCCAGACCGGATTCCAATTCCGCGGCGAATGTTTCAGTCTTCGACTCGACTGGGCCATCCTCTGGGATTTTGATACAATCTACAGTAACAACACCATCGATTCACGTATCCGTTCGGCGTTGCGCGGTGCGGTAGCATCCCGGATTAAAAGGCTTATGGACAGATGTCTCTCACTCATAAATTCCAGTCGAAATGCCAAATTCCCACAACAAGAAGCGGAAGCGCGGATCTACCACGCGCTATTCTCCATGCTCTCGCTCAGCAATTCCCGAGCGCAAGGCCAATTGATCAACGTAGCTACCGAGACCTCAACGCGTCTGCGGGCGAGGGAGAGCTTAGAGGAATGTGAAACTCTCTGTTCGCGATATCCAGGCACGTTGGCGTATCTGAAGGACGATGCTGAAAAGGCGAAGAAGTTGGTTAATGGTGGGACTTTTTATAGTTTGGTGACGACAGAGGAAAAGCGGGAGGTTTATAGAGCTATGGCGAGGCAGTTTTCGGGGACAGGTCATTGGTATTATTGTCGGAATAATCATCCTGTAAGACCCTCTCGGTTTATGACCCCTAGAAAACTTGGCCCGAAAGTACTAACCACCATTGAAATCACAGTTCACGGTAGGAGAATGTGGAATGCCAATGGAAGAAGCACGATGTCCGCAATGCGAGGAGCCGATCGGAGGTCATGATCATACTCCTGTCCAAGGGGTCCGTAGAGCGGAAGACCTAGAAGTTGAGTTTAGTGGTGCTTAGTTACGTTATTTTAGATTGAAAAGAGCGACCATCTAATGACTGTCCATGTGGCCGATGTCTGTCTAGAGGATTTACTGGCCCTAATCTCTACTTCAGAGCCCTTTGCCATCCAACAACACAGCCTCTATGACTGAAACCTCAGATTTCACACCACTTGATATCGCATTATAACTAATTGCCGCTCATGTAAGAGCATGTATGCTATCCTATTCTCCGTGGTGCCATCTCACTGCACTACACCTCGATTTTTTTAAAAAAGACGTACTTTTACTTCGTTCCTCTGCAAGTTATAAAACTTCATTCTACCTATTTTAGGTAGGTTATTTTTCCTAATTCTGAGCAAAAATTTTAAGCATCCGGAAAGGCATAGGGGTAGGGCCCGAACCGGCTCTTCCGAAGTAGCCTCTAAGAGCCCATTTCGACCACGGCTTTAATATAAACCAAGCCCATCTTTTAACAGCATATACAACGCCAAGTACAACACCTAATATGCACTTAAGTAATTTCCTTTCCAGATTAGGGAACTGGGCTGCTCATACTCCAGCCTAAGCTGTAACTTGTAACGAGTCGTCTCTTCCTTTCTCCTTAGAGGAAGATAGAGGCCGAGCGCAGGCCAGTATGCATGCATCAATCTCTACCAAGGCGGTGAGACATCGGTATTACTATTATTGACAGGGCTGAGCTGACCTCCTTAACACCGTATTGAAGTCCCTCAGATGCATCACCACCAAGTCCTACTATTAGAGAGATTTAAAGAGCCATGCAAACACCTCCACAGATTGGTATCTGCAGTTGTAGCGGGGTACATCCGCGGCCGACGACGAAGCCCTGCAATTGGGAAGATGAGGCCGAGGGCGAGAATAAATCGGAGGAACCCCAATATGTCAACCACTGAAACTTATGTTAAGCCCATAACCTAATGAAATTAGGTTACATAACATCTTCCAACAGGAGTGAGGCGATGAAGGAAATGGTTTTAGCCGAAGGTCGCATTACTAACTTACGTCGCCTGCCTCGCTCTTGCGTTATCTTTATGCTATCCACTTAAATTTGCTAATATGATAACACCGGGTTACACAACTCGTTAAGACTAGACGGAGGCGGATAAAGAGACTGTTTTACGATTAAGTTACACACATGGAAATGATTTAGGTTGCAACTGGGATATATCTTCTAACTGTCTCACATACGCTCTTCTTCTTAACCATTATTCTACCAAAAAGGAAGACACAGTTTCGCCAGGCGGCGCTAATTTCCGTAACCGCTATTGAACAAAACGATTGCCGCTACACAATGTATTTATTTATTAACTTCGAATATTCTAAAGTCGCTACTAAAAAGAACTAGCTTTTCTGAGTAGCTCAATCTTTCATAACATATTAAAGGGGAACCTCAGCGCAACACGACGCAGGCTAGTTATCCTCCTATGCCCCATGTAGTAAGACACTACCGACACAATGCCATTATAGCCTAAAGGGAAGAATTAGTAAGATGACTTGTGTAGTTTGCAAGGGCCAGAAGCAATTATGGGGAACATGCGCTACCTGCAATGGGAGCGGGGATTTACGACCGAATTATTGCAGTTCTTGCGTGAATGGCTGGCTCAACACGCCCATGGTATCCATGACGAGAAAATGTGGCCTATGTTGGCAGACATGCAGCAGCTGTGATGGAAAAGAGGGAGTAACGATTGATCGCTGTCCTTGGTGTTAGTAGAAGTTGAGTGTGAGCCTTGTTATTCAACATCGTAATAGGCTTTAGTCTCTGAAACGGAGTATGTGGAAACACATGCAAATTTTCTCTTTAGGAATCATACTGGGCTTCGGTTCTACATTATCTCTACCCCTGTTTTCTCTGCTCTTCGGAAATCTATATACACGATCACCTATCCAGCAAAACCAAGGGGGCCGTCCATTTATTCTGATACCCACCCGTGAGGTGCGAGATGCACCACCCAGTATATAGCTGCTTGAGCCCTGCGATACGCCTGCGTACCGCATGCATATCACGTAACTACCCGCACGTGTTCGCTAAGGCCCAGGCCACGATATGTTTCCTCCACGGAGCGCTCTCCGAGCTTCCTCAAGGATTCGTCTCGTCTCGTCTCTTGTCTATTGTTGATACCAATACAGCCGATTCTCATCGATTCCATCGTCAAGCCCCCTGCCATGCACTTTCCTCTTGCACCACCACACCGTTAATTAAAATCCATATCTTCTGTTGTCTTTGTCATGTACTTAAACCTCTTAACTATTCTAGCCTTTAGCAGCCCCTTCACGGTATTGCTAGTAGATAGAAGTCTTCTCTAAGAGCTAGCACAGCTACTACCTTAGAATCCCTAGTATAATTATATAATCAATTTAGAAGAAGGTAAAACACCGCTATAAATACCGACCTATAACCTATCCTAAAGGGACTCTATATGCTAGAGCAAAAAAGAATAAAGAGAAAAAAAGGATAGAAAAATATTTAATATGTGGGGCGTCAGAACCGTCTTCAGTATCCCGGGCAGTCCTTGTTAAAAAGGCTACACGGACAATTGTTCTGGTACTGAAGATTTCTTTTTCGCATCCCTCAGCTTGATGATCGTACTACGTTGCCTTGCAGCCATCCCAACCTCGAACATGATTAGCAAATTCAATAATTAGAAGGTGGAGAGCTGGAATACCCCACCTGCTCAGCTGGAACGTACACTGCTCAGTGTGCTATGAAGTAACTTTAATTCTAGTCCTCGGCCAATGAATTCACCGGCGGAAATCGGAGCCTCTCCACAGATAGCAGCCTCATCGCAGCAAGCAGAATTGCCTGCGGTTGACTCCCCCAAGTCATCAGCAGCCATACAGGATCAAGCTCCAGTTAGTAGAATCATACAGACGAAGGCTGGGGTGCGGGCTCACGCAATTTACAATTCCAGTCTAAACGCCATGAAGCGCATTTGGGTGGAATTCGGAGCCAGTCACTTCTGTGATGGTGCCAACAGTGTCACAGAGGGAAGTGAATAAATCGTGTGCTCATCCCAGGATGGCAAGCTTGCTCGTTAGCTCGTTCTACGGCGGTCTGCCACCGAGATCGCCATATATATCTCCACACCTGTCTTCCTAAGACACACGTCTCGCCGGCTTCAGAATTTCTTGTTCCTCTATGGAAGTATAACGGATCACGAAGGGCTTGTTGCAGGGCCCCCTCGGGGATGAAATGAAGAGCGAATGTGAAAGTGAATCCCTGGAGAAAGAAGTCGTTGGCTTCGGTTTCCTTTGCATAGGCTGAGAGTCCATAATTATCACCTCTTGAGGTGCGTCTCATGTCGAATCCATTCCGATGAGAAAATGGTCCTGGTTTTCGATTAGGAATACTAAAATACCTTGGCTGACTCGCTTGTTGTAACTCGTTTCATATTCGTTTGAATGGTCTTGAACGTCGTCGTGTCTCCGCAGAATGCCGTGCTGGAATTTAGATGCTAAGACAGAGCATGTCGCCTTGTTGTAATCGCTCTTAGCAGCAAAGACCACAAAGAAATCTAGCAGATAGAGCAGTAGCTGCCTATGAGGCGCAGGCATTCTTCGAATGAGCGACTGGTATTCTTCTATGGTCCTGTTCATGTATGAGGCGATTTCGTCACCCTGGTCTTCCGGACTATAATAATCTCCGGACTCCATTACCCTACGCCATTCATTCGGCATGGCGGTGTCAAATGCCTTAAACCATTCATATGGGATGACGGGTTCTGGCAAATTCTCTAAGAAGAGTATCAAGGTGCTAGCGGCATCATGGACAGAGTATCCTGCCCAGTCAAACCCTTTTCCGTACCGCTCTGGACTGTGGAAGACTACTTTCAACTCTTGCACTCGTTCTTGCTGGCCAGGCGTAACAAATATGCCCTCTACACCCGTAGCTGGTGCTTGATTAGCAAAGGAAGTGGCAAAAGCAAAGGGGATACAAACCTTTCCCCTTGAGGAACACCCCACACTTTCCGACGATGATTGGGACATAACCGTAAATGTAGCTTTCTCCTGCTTCGTTGAATAATGAGATAGCGACATTGGCATACATTATACTTTGATCAAGAGCAACACCGAATATTCTATATTCATTCTTTCCAGGTGCCTCAGCATGAGCTTGACCTTGGAATTTCTTCCACCAGGAACCAAGATCCCTACGGCTAGTTCCAGAGGATTCCTGCTTGCTGGCAGCAATCTCCTTCGTCGCTTGGGCTAGGGTGACTGAGACTTGCGAGTGCCCGAGTTGGGTATTATTGAGGTAGAGGGCGGTATTTGCTGCTGTTTCCTCCTCGAAAGTCACGATTGCGGATTGGGCGGTGGCAGTCGGGGTAATGGATAAGGAAGAAATCTTGCCACTGGAAACGGTTAGTGGTTTTTGATATATAGAACATGACATCTACGTCACTTGAATTGTTGCTGAGATGAAGAATGGAGGTGCAAGGCTTACCAGAAGCTAAAGAAATCCCTGACTTCCTTCTCGCTGGTCTTGCTCGAGATATTCTCAACGTCAACTGATAAGGACGTCGAGCTGGGAGAATCGAATTTTGTTTCCGCCCTACCATTCTTTGATTTTGGACTCAGGAAGCGAAATATATGGCGTTCTTTCTTCCCACTACTTGATTGAGCGAGTTGAAAATTGGAATTATTTGAAGTCCCTGGTGAAAAAGGAACATCTTTTTCTGAAACTTTAGGGGTCGAAGCAGACGCAGTCCTGGGAATTGAGCTTGAGTCGTAATCCGTAGAGTTGGTAAGCGAGTGTTTTGATGCGTTTGGCGAGAGGAGAACGCTTTTTTCTGTTGATGCAGTACTCTGAGGTAAGCTTTTCCTTCTAATTTCGTTCTGTCGGACAGCTGTCGCAGCCGAAGAAGATTCGGGATGAATTTCTGGAGTGTTGACTGAATTAAGCTTTATATTTGCGTTATTCGATACAACTTCGTTCGCAATCGCTGGATTGACAACATCTCTTGTAGTGTTTGAGGTGGGCAGTTGAACTTCGCTTCTCACTTCGCTCGACAGTGTGCCAGACGCTTCATTTGAGGCACTAGAAGGAGTCTCTCTCAATGTAGGTGGTAGCACTGTCTCCTCGGCACTGTGTGAGCTGGAAAGGGGAAAGCTGCTTCCTGTTCCACTTGAGGTTGGGATCAGCCCGCGTTGTGCACGGGTTCTCACACCCTCCACCAAACCCCTCTGATATTATCTATCGGCAAGCAAAATTCATAAGTCACAAAAAAACAAAATCCATTGGATGGGACTGGGACGTCGCAATTGCATCTTTACCCTTGGCAATGCTATTCTAGAGTTGCAGCGCTCGTCTGGGCATGTCCTCAACTGTCCCCTCCATGGAGTTAAGCTCGAATCATATCCTGCCCCAGCTGGTCCCCACTGCGCGTGCTCCGGCTGCAGTCCAATGATGCGGCGGTAAGTGCGACCTCAAGATTTGACATATGCTTGTCGAAATTGGTCACGTAATACATGGAGGTGTGCCCAGGTGTGTAATTCCTTGATTCTTAACTATCTAGATGCGCGGCCCTCCCCTCTTATATTCGGGGCAGGATGGCTGGTTTACTCCCAGCCCCCCTCTATTGCTTCGTGGGACGCTGTCCTAATGTTCCTATAGTACTGCCTAGCTGCTAAATGTACCAAAATTCAACACTCCCCCGGCCTCTCGAGCAGAAGCAGAGGTAAAGGCAGAAGCAACTGCGCGTCTAAGATAGCTTAATAACCTCCAACTCCAGCCTTGTTAAAACCCTTTAAAACCTTTACAGGAATAAGGGAAAGAGTACTAGAGTTTACTTTAGTAAAAGAATACATCTATCTAACCTAGTGTTGCCTATTGTTACGACACCGTCACAACAGCCCCAGAATGGTCCAAAACGCCTCCTAATTACCCTCTATTCCATAAAACAAGTCAAGGGCGAAGCAAGGCCCGGAATTTGGGCTGGAACGCAATAAGCAAGGGCATGGGGCCCTAGAACGGACTCATCCATTCCTACTAGAAGGAAGCAAGTCTAGAGAGACGTATAAAGAGACCTTTTTAGACCTACTAGCTGCATCAAGCGGCTCGAATAGAATCTCACCTAGAGAGCCACCCACCTTGTGACGTACTAGAGTCTTCTTGCCCACCGCTACCCCTTATCATTTTAACAGAGCCATCGTATGCTAGCGCGAAGGAATTCTGATGCGAGAATGGAGAGCAAAAGAGGATGGGAAATATTAAGCCTTCCGCGAGATGGGAGAGCAGAAAGATGATTGAAATTGGGGACAGAAAGGGCCGAGTTGACAGTGGGTAGAGAGGAAGTGTCCAAGTTATCGAGGAGGCAGAGCCTTTTATGGGCTCCACCACCCACTCCACGACGGGCAGCGGGAATATAGGTGTCTCCATAATCCTTGCTCTCATAGTATCGGTTTAGTTAACGGGGAGCAGCGTAGAGGCACGCTAAAGCAATGGTGCTGCAGTATCTCGCATAGATGGATGCTACAAGGAAAGAAGTCGCGTGTGGGCATGTTAGGCGCCAAGGCGCTTAGTCACGATATTTATGGATTAAAAGGGCACTAGCGGTAATTGCAGCCATCAGGTCAGACTGGTGAGTCCAGCCGTGGAGCGATGCGCTTTGCATCGTCCAAGACGATAGGGATGACTGGGCTTACGAAGCGACTCAGATGGGAAAGATCTTTGAACGGGCATACTGCACTCTTGCAGCCGTTGATGCGATTGATGACGACACGGGTATAGACAGAGGACTGTTCCTTCCTCGAACAGAAGATCCCCTGACAGTACGCCTGAAATGTCATCTCCTGAAGGATCCCGTGAAACCCGAGAGATTTCAATCACCAGATGGCCAGCCGTACTGTTGGAAGTACACCTATCGTTTGGATGAGGACGAGGAGAGGACGAGGACGATAGTGCCGATGAGGCTCTTTCAGATCAACATCGACTGATCGCAAAGCCCAGACTTCTGGGATCTTCGTGGGAGGTCATGCGCTCGAAATGGAACTGGAGAGGCTGGATTCTCCAGGAACGCATTCTCTCTAGGCGAATAGCTTACTTTTCCAAGACTAAACTATCCTGGGACTGTCTCACGACCTCGGGCGAAGAAGAATCGCTTGGCATTGCGGTGACTCCTTTACGAACGCAGTATTTCCAGAGCGGCATTCAGTCTTGGCGGTCACTTGTAGAAGACTATACAGCGTGTTCAATATCTTTTGACTCCGATAAGCTGGCTGCTATATCGGGACTCGCTGAGCGATTGGAGACAAGAAGTAACACTCGCTGTTTCGCTGGTATTTTTCAAGACTCCTAGGGAAACGGTTTGATGTGGCGATCGAACTTCGAGAATCCTATGACACATATGGATTCATTCCACGCACCGTCATGGAGTTGGGCCGCTTATAAAGGGCCCATTATCTATAGCCTTGGGCGAGGCATGGAAGCGGGCAAATCCACCAGCCACTGCGAAATCTCGGAGCTTGCGTTTGACATCGAGAACAGCTGCCCTCACAAATGCTCAAAAACATCGACCACATGCGTCGTAGGAAGCGTACGATGGGTAGGAATGATTGGCACTGCAATCCGATCAGGCACTTTGAGTTTCTTGAATCTTTCTAACGATAAAGATCTCATCGAAATCCTTGGTTCCCCCGTCCACTGGGAGCCACGACCGCCACTGCGCATCGTCCGGAGCGTAGCAGAAGAAGGGCCGCGGAAGCTCAGTATCCCTGGTCGGTCCGAAGCGTTGAAGGATGAGAAAGGACGCATAGTCGGCTGGGTTCTCTTGGATACGGATGGCTCTGTGACTGCGGGGCCATCATTCTTTTGTGCGGCAATGAGGCGTTGGCAGAGGACAACCTATGCAGACCGTTCATTGGGTGTTGTTCTGGGGTTCGATTACAGGGGGGAGGAGATATTGGACATCCTTGCATTGAAACGACGCGGCGAGAACCCCCGGACTTATGAGCGGATTGGGATCGGGAGAATCGTCGACAAGAGCTGGATACGAAACTGTTGTAGACAGACAATAGAAGTCTGGTGAGATGGGAGAAACAATAGTAGCCGGCAGTGATGGCGGTCAGATTGTTGCCAAATTGGGGTCGCCGAAGGGTAGCAACTTGCAAAGCAAGTGGTACGGAAAGTATACACGGAAAGAGGTGATTGTGAGATTGAGAAGGATTGGAATCAAAGGAAGAGCAGGAATGTGGTATAGGAGGGAGTCGTGAAAGCGGAACTCATTCCTTGACGCCAGAATGTCTTTGGTTTGCTACTCTATCCGGAAGAACACGATGCCAAGATTTAACTATCAAAAAAAATACAAATTCAAACCCTGTAAAGGCAATGAAAACCTTACTGACGATCTACCACAGTGAGACCCAGAGAACCTTCTAGGGGGCAAGGTCAACGACGATGCTGGTCCCTCGTACGAGGAAATGGTATCGGGGATTCCGACGTATGTACGCTTGGGGAGGCAAGTCGGCAGAACCTGCACTAGTGAGGCAGCTTCAAATATCGTCTGGCCGCGTTCGGGATCGATTCGTGGCCCAAAGGCGGCTCCAGTGGCGCTGTACACCCTGACTAGAACTACTCAGTGTTATGTACATACGAGCACCAGAGCCCAGGACAATGGCCTAGGACCTTAGGACAGAAGCATCAAGGTTCTACAGCATGGCGTGGTACCTATGGGCACAGGACAAGGACAGGATCACGTGATGACAAAATCACGTGGATGATCTCGGTAATCTTTTGTGGCGGTGCGCCAAGGGAAGAGATCAGGAGAGCAAGTGATTTCCGTGATCTCTTTGATCTTGACCTGTGGAAGAGAGAGCAGAAAGATCAAAGAGATCAAGATCAAATTGTATGAAGCATGGAAAGCTACTTAAACAGGATGGTTTCCTGTCAGTTCGCGGGCCTCTCGCGTAGGAGCCCTCCGCGGAGGACTTGACCGTTCCAGAACGCCTACCATTTTTTCTCCTCTTCTCTCTCAACTAAAGAGCCGCTCCTCTCTGGAAACAACTCCTTCAGAGATTTAGCAGCCGCCTTATTGTTGGAAATAGGTTCATCTTGGAAGCCGAGGACCGAGGAAACTTTCTATACAAGCCATGTCTCAGCAATCCCGTGAGGTACCCGTCCCTCTATCCTCACGTATATAGCAAGCTTTATGCTCAATCTATAATTGACAGAGTTAACTCCACTTTCAACATTAGTCTTACACTAGCAGGTCCCGCTTCAATCGCCGACAAAAGACATTGAAAACTTGGTGAAAGGGCTCCAAGAGCACTTGCTGACAACCCCGCACAAGAATTAGCATAGGAACAATCAGAAATATACAGATCTGGAAGAAACGTACAGGTATGGGCTTGCAGGAATTTTGGGCATCGGAGGAGGAGCTGGGATTATGCAATATAGCATAATAGTGCCCTTTCAGGCTTAGAATAATCGGGCGGAATAAACTCACTCACTCAGTTTCTAAACCCCGTCGTTTCTGGCGGCACGCGCCTCCACTTATGTAGGGCATTGTCTCTTGGGGTGACATTCCTAGATGCAGCAAGTGTCGATCCAGCCATAGCGGCAATTTGCTGAAGAGGCCAGGGCGCAAAATCCTTTAATTTTAGCGAACCCCTTCTTTTGCGAAGCCCTCATTGGTGATAGTATATCCTCGTAGGTGACTTCATCCTCGTCAAGGCCTCATCTGTGTGACAGAATTGCGTACTGATTGTTGCCGAAGTCCAGCTCGGAATCTCGAACTTGCTCAAATTCCAAGGTAATGGTATTAAGAGAGCGCATCTTGATGGCAGCAATCTTAACACTCGAAATGAGACGTAGCAGAGGCGAACTGGGCCAAATGACACGTAGGTGCCGCGAAAACTCGAGAAGCTCCAGCCTTGTCTCGAGAGTATATACGTTGGTTCTGATTTATTACATAAGTAGAGCTGGAAAACTGCGCTAGAGGATAGATAGAATACGCCGCTAGAAAGTAAAGTACAGCACTAGCTACCTAGGTACTAGCATGGGCGGGAGGAGCACGTGGAGCACTCGGATAGATTCTAGCCTGGAACGTGGCAGCGGTTGGGAACACGCCGAATAAAGACTAGCCTAGGAAGCCACGAGGCCGATGGATAAAGGGACCACTATCGATTGTTCTTTCACCTCTCACTCGCCCTTCAGCACTCAGTGTCATCGGAACACCCTCCCAGCATCATCCCTTCGAGATGCATGCAGCATCACGCGCGAAAAGCCACCCTTGCATGAAATGTAGCGTGGCAGCTCCAGCGGGCCGGGACCTTCAAACGCCTTAAATCTGCCGCTTGGAAAAGGACGGCCACGTTCTCTTTCTCGCGTACGATCCTCCTCGAGTTATACGGGTGCGTATCCCGCGAGACTGTCGAGCCAGACTGTTGCCGATGGCGAGCATAGCTGCCATTCCGGATCTACTCCTACATATCATCCTCCAGTCAGATCTCGATACGCTCCTGCACCTCCGCCTCACCTCTCGATCCGTCAAAGACCTTATAACCGCATACGAGTCCACTGTTGTACGACGCGTTGCCCGGAACACCTTTCCGCAGAGCACACGCCTTCTCCTAGAAGCATCGGTAAAAGGGAAATATGATCTGAAGTGGCTGCTGGATTGCAAGCTTCGGCAATTGGCCGCGATAGCTGTCGACAAGCATCGATGGGAACACAAGCTGCGAGTCGCGGATGGTGCGGCAGCTGAGGATCCAGTAGGAGAGGAGTTGCGAGAGCGCGTGTTCAAGGGATTTCGAATACTGCGCCTGTTTTCGAATGTCGCCAAAGATGCCGAGTCAGTGCCGTTGGACGAGCTCCCGCAGATCGCCATTGCAGCTCAGAACGACCACTCGAAACCCTTCCATGTCGTACAACGAGCAGTGCCACACTTCAGACGGAAGAGCCTCATAACTTCGACCGCATATTGCATATCGAAACGGTGGTCACAGGCTCAGGAGAGCACGCGCCTAGCTTTGCTGTCGTCGGATATAATCCGGGAATGGAGGAAAGAGTTATGGATACTGGAGATGCGGGAGAACTTTCTAAGACAGATGTGGCCGGAATATGCCTGCTACTTCCAGGACATGTTCTTCTTTGTCAAGGCTTCGTTCAGTCATCTTGACAAGCAGGATAAGCACTTCGACTGGGGTTGTGAGAAAGGATCTAAACGGCTCGACGACTCGTGGGTTTCTTGGTACATTCTGCGGGAAGGCCCAAGACTCTTCTGGGAGCAATGGTGGGCGAATAGAGACAACCCAGAAGCATCCCCGATACTCGAGGAAATCGAAGATGCTTGGGATGGTCGGCCACCTGTCCTAGCCAAGATGGAGCGCGAGAGCTGTCGACGCTTGTTTGAAACCTTGGACGAGCTGGCACAAGATGCATATCCATATAACCCAATTGCTACAGTGTTTCGGCCTCGGCCGTGGACGTTCTTCACGGAGTATGGGCTAGCATTTGAGAGGAGACTTCGAGCTGTTGAGCGCCATCCAGAGGAGATTCTCGACCGCGTTGCCTTTCACGTCGATATGAAACCCTTTGTGCCACTTTAGCTCGTAAGTTGGAAGAGAGGCTGTATTGCATGGACATAACGGAACTGCACCTGTTTGGTCACGTGGTCAAATGCAAGATGAAAATTATTCTGTCTAGTATTATACCAGAGTTTGTGGAACTTTGCAAGATACCAACAATCACAAACATCATTCAAATAATACACTAAATGGCAAGATATTGGTGGGAAACAGAACGCTAATCCTATTTGATCTAAAGCGTGCCAAGATGGGGGCCAAAAGGATGATCCATCAATACCTCAATGTCAGACACGAAACATGCTTTTTAGGTCGCAAGATCATTGTGAGGTATTGTTTATATCCGAAATGCATTGATTGCTGTCGCGTGCGAGATGAGCCAGACCGAAGCGCTGCTAGAGCAGGAAGCCGAGAACGCCTCCCAGGTCTCACCGCCATCCCCTTACACCGGCTCTGTCCAGAACGAGCAGCATCTTGAGACACTGGCCGAAACGACGGATGCCGTCGTGTTCTTTGTGGATCATAATGGCAAGAGGTTTATCTTCCCGTGGGTCGAGTCTAAGACATGGCAGGTACACGGTTTCAACCCTGCTTGACGCTAGAAAACAAAAACTAACGATTCCTCCAGGGTATGAAAAACCTGATTGAGCGAGCCTATTCGCGTGGTGATAATTCTGCGCTTTTACCTGAGGTCGCAGAGGAGAAGTTTGATCTTTTGCTTTTCAACGGAGATGTCGCTCTCCCTGAAGTATGGGGGGCCGTAATCCGACCGATGGAGACAGTACGTCTGTCCTTGTGGTCTTTGCCATACGTGACATCTCCCCAACCACCACCGGAACCACCGGCAGTAGCAGGGGCTGAAGCGCCTGGTACTGGTACTTCGTTTCCACCCGATCAAGAACTCGATGACGTTGTTATCATACAGGAGAGGGGGCAGTCGCACCGCCATAAGGGCGCGACGAGAATTCCTAAACGCTTTGCCAGGGAGCAGGTAATAGTACAGTTGGGCTATGCATTTGAAGAAGAGGTAATATCGTATATCATCGTCCAAAGAAAATTTGCTAATAAGACCAGGATGATTTCCTCGTTATCCGCAGAGCTCTCAAGAAGAGTCAAATCGACGAAATTATCAAGATGAGCGAATCCTGGCGGGAACCAATCGAAGAACAGGTCAGAGCGCTCGAGGAAGAACGCCGAGTTCTCGAAGAGGAACGCCGCAATTCGCCACGCTCTGGGTCACGTTTTAGGCCACGCTCTGGGTCAAACTCGAGATCGAAGTCTCGCTCTCATGACTCTCGTTCTCGCGCTCGGTCCCGATCGCCTGCCCGATCAGTGTCCGGATCACGTTCCCGTTCTCGATCCCGCTCTCAATCTCGCGATTCCGTAATTTCATTTCCATCCAGCGAAGAATCTTCTTTGGAGTCTGTCTCAGATGCGTCGAGTTCGGGTAGCGTTTCCACTGACTTCGAATCTCCTAGGCCCTGGGAGCCCCCCCGGGACAGAGATGGCAATCATCTGTCCTTTCTCGCAAAACACTCTGAAGTCTCTGACCAGGTTCAATCAGAAGAAACAAGCCGCAAGCCTCCAGCCCCTCGGCCTATGATAAAGGAGCCTGTTGATATCTTAGAGGCTCACATGGCTCGCATGTCTTCAAACGAAACCAAAACCTATGTGTTTATCCGCCAAGTCAACTCCCCCCAAAAGCCTGGTAGCAAAGATATTGCAAGCATCCGCTGGCATCACCTCCATGCTTTCGACGAATTAGACTTCTATGCGTTCAAGGATGCTTGTACTAGCGTTCCCAAAGTGAGCACTCAGGCATGCCATGCCGTTTCAACGCTATTGGCAAGAGTGGAAACAGAAAACATCAAAACTGCACTGGATGGTATGTTCATCGAACAGGGTACAGTCCTGCGATGCGACTTCAAAGACGGCCAAGGCAAGGAGCATGCTGTCATATTCTCTTGCGTTCCATATTTCGATCTACAGGCTCCGATGAAGCCAAGGCTCAGTAGAGGGCAGCGCCTCCATCCTGTCAGGACCCTGATGTCCACGTTATATCCGTACGAAGATGTAGTGGAGCGTGACCGAGAGCAAGCATTCCGAAAGCATGGAAACAACTCCTCGGAAAGTATCATCCATGTGCCAGTCTTCTGGATGCTCTGCATCGGCTCTGAGGCGATTGTAACATGCGGCTATAAAACGTTATCAGCAACATTGGGTCCATCCATATTGATGGAGCGTGACATTCAGAAGCTCGGAAGGTTAGAAACTGCTGTTGACATTAGATTCACTGACTGGGAAGGCCGGGTTTTCTTATTTCCACGGGAGCGATGCAATACCTTCTTCGAGTTCGAACAGAAGGTTCGAGAGATACGATCGGCGTCGGCACGACAGGCTCCCATAAAGGGTACTCTCAAGTTTGTGCTTGTGCAGGAGAAGGGCAAAACGTTGCTGAGACCCGGCAATTGGGTTGAAGAGGTCCATTCTTTGAAGACTACCTTCGTTGATATTTTGATTTTGAATGAACCGGGACACATGTCTGACGGGACTGAGGCTCTTGAAGAATGGGACTCGAAAGAAGAAATTTCACAAAATGGCGCAACTCCTGAAAATGACTCCTCGCAGAAAGACGCAGCTGCACTTGACACAACTATTCGACGACGACCATTCTTAGCCTGGAAGTCGTCAACAATGCTGCAAAACGAAATAGAGGGGCTCCGTGAAAGGGACGCTCCCGTTGAAGATCAAAATACAGCAGAGAGGACCGGGATGATCAAGAAACTGGCTTTAGTGGAAAGGAACCTTCTCTTCGACACTCTAGAAAACGATGTCGTTGACCACGACGTTGACAAGGGGTTCGCGTCAACCGACTACTATAAAGGCCTCTCGGAGCGTAAATTCGAAACAGCGATAGACGCCGTAGGCAGACTCAAGGCTGGGGCACCTTTAGAGCCACCTCTGCTTTTGAAAACCGACTTCCGCCCCGGAGAATACCAAGGCCCTGGTCTTACTGATGAGATACACAGCAGGATAATCGATTTCCAGCGATATAACATCGCCAGGCTTGCAAATAAGTTACTTCGGGAAATATCTGAAACGTTCTCTCTATATGTTTCCGACCCTGATATGAGTCCCACATTGGGGAAAGTTTGGTCAGCTCTGAGCATGATAGCAGCGGTAAGTCAGGCAGTCACTCTCTTATCGTCGGATCAGGAGCTACTCATATTTCTTATAACATGTGCCTCTGTTGAGCATTTGGAATGTTCGCCGTCGCCTATTCCCGCTGACTGTACTTCAGGTTCTTCAAAAAGCCGTTGACACAGATGCGCAAGTCACGGGCAAAAGCAAGGCCAAGCTCTGGACACTTCGCAAAAGATCCGATTTTATAGACAGGTCCTTAGCTCCAGAGCTCGGCTCCTGGCTCCCACAGCACATCAAAAGATGTAAAACGTGTCGAAAGGCCGAATTCGCGACTGAAGACCAGGCAATCAAGCATCTACAGAAGCAATGTGTGAGAGACAATATGTGGAAACCAATGGAAGGCGATGAACATGACCCAAACCCGGAATTTCGACCGTCTCTTCGCAGTGATTCGCAAATGCGCTTCGAGGAGCGTAATTCTGCAATCATCTCTATCCTTTCTAAGAGCATCAAAGGAATTTCAAAGCTTCGATTGCAAGCCATGGAGCTTGCAGAGGGAGTCACCTTCGACAAAGAAACTGTTGCGGACCCATATGCATTGCCACTATCACTAGTTGAATCGTTGCGGAGGTTCGTTGTCTTGTTCTTAGGAGTTGAACGCGCCATATTCTTCGTCGACAACCGTTTCAAGGATTGGAAGCTCGAGCACAGGAAAGAAATTATGGAATACTTCACAGACGGCATGACTGCGCTCCAAAGATTTGAGTCTAGTGTCCATATCTCACTCGCGGAGGCCCGGAAAGACCTTTGTTTTATGGTTCGATCTCCCCCGAGCGAGAGCAACTTTCTCTTGAAGCTTTCCGTTGGACCTGAGTTCATCCTTGCGTGGCTAATACGCCGCCTCCTGGTCAAGCCCATAGATCACAACGTTGGGACACCCGAGTTGTATCGAGAATACCTCTCGGCTCTTGTAAGACTCCCGTGCATCGTTCGTGGAAGGAAGCTGACGTGCATCCTCAGGCATTTCAAGTCAATCACCATCCTCGGAAAAGACTACTCCGGGACATCAATCTTCTACAAGAGGAGCTCCATGCGTTGGACCAAGTCAACAGATGGCAGGTAAAGCTAGTCGAAAACTACATAGCTGTTCTTGACGACAATTCATTCGCAACCGAAATCGCTGGTCGCCGAGCTCTCTTCGAACATGAAGAGAACCTCCTTTCTGGCTTCATGCCTGACCTGCTAGATGATCACGAAGACTACGTGGAGCTGTTAGGGCGATGCCAGCCGCTGATAGAGACGACCAAGCAAAGCACGGAGATCAACGAAGAGGACCATGGCAAAGCAATCTTGGTGTTCACGTTAGTGACCATCATTTTCCTGCCACTGTCTTTTGTTACTTCATATCTTGGTATGAACACGATCGATATCCGCAATATGGAGAACAAGCAGTCCCTCTTCTGGGAGATAGCTCTTCCGCTTACTGCCGTTACGGTTGGATCGATTCTCTTAGTTGCTTACAATGGCGATCAAGTCCACGATTTTGTTTCGTCGGTTTCCCATACACTGACTGGAAAGAAGTCGAAAAAGAGTAGACACACCTTGTCGGTGGCTCAAAGAAAGAGATTCACTGCAGGCGTTGGCTCCTCGAGCGACCTTGACTATAGGAGCACTGCAGACTCGGCGGAATATGCACTGCCAGTCACTAACCCGCTCGCTGGAGTGATTAGTAGGCTGCCTCCGCGTGTAGCTCCAGGCAGGACTAACACCAAAGTCCACTACGAAGATGACTATTACGGCGAATCGATATCAGCGATCAGGAAAGACTCCCGCTCTCGGACATACACAACCCAAAGGAACGAGATGGCGATGCCGGCCCCTATGAGATCACCGGCAGTTATGCCCCTGGAGAGGGGTCGTCCGACCTATGCAAGAGTGCATCGGAAATACGTCACGTCCGACTCCCTAGCGTATGTATCAAGCTTCCTTATCTTCAAATTTCCAAAGAAGGCCCTGTAAATGGTGCCTCGGGTCATGACGAGTCTTCATCACGAATCATTCTTATGCTGACGGATCGATTAGTCATTTTGGGTTGCCTTGGGAATACGATGCTCAGGACCCCTACTACGTGATCATTACGAAGGATATGAGCACTTATGACCTCGACGAACTATTTGAGCATAGTCGCCGTGCCATAAACCCGCAAACACGTACCAAAACGCGACGCAGGATCCCCAAGATTTATGTAGATGATAAGAAAGCGGAGTACACTTGGGTAAGGAAGAAGGCGAATCGAGGGACACACCATGGTGAAACTTCGGGGCGGTCGCAAAGGAAGGCTGTGTATGTGGATTAGGGCTACTCTTCAGATGTGTTGTTGCTTCCTGAAGCTGCCTTGTAGGGTCCCAAAATGGAATATGTACCGACCGTTCTACAGTGCCAGGTTGATGTTGATTAAATGCCACCACACATTCGCCCTTGATTTGGGGCACTTTTGCTTGCTGTGTATCACTTTGTGGAGAGATCTATGCGAGCCGTACACCCATGGAGAGTCTATGCCCGCTTGCCCAACTCCCATCACAACGCATTATACTTTCTACCCATATGTTCGAAACATTGAAGCGCCTAAGAAGTGGCAGATCGATGCTCAACGACTCATAAAATTCATATTACGAACCACATGCACTTGATATCCCACCCCGCAATTCCACTAAACGCCTTCCCATGCATGCATATCGTAGCCCCCATTCTGATATTCGTATCTCATGATCTCCGTCCCAACCCTCACTTCTTCCCCTTCTTCTTCTTCTTCCCACCCCCGGCCCCCCCTCCGCCCGGCGGTCCCTTCGCATCACCAGCCTTCACATCCTTACCCACCCCCTCTGGCACCGGCGTATGCGTGCCGGCTTGATCTATCGGTGCGCTCAAATCTGCCAAGCATGCGATTAGCCCACGTTCTACAGCCCCGAAATCCCTACACCGCAACGGTTCGAGGATTCGACCCACCTTCCACAACCTCCGGCAGCGCTGCCATAACTCGTGCCAGCTTCCCCAAGCTCCCCACCAACCGCCCAACCTCAGCTGCTTTATTGGTCTGGTACTTCAGACACGTGCCGGACGCTGGGTCGTACGTCTTGAGCGTGAAGGTTGCGATGTTCGCGCGAGTGGGAGTGGGAGTAGCGGACACATCGTCAGATGCCGGTGCTGCTGCAGGTTCAGATGCCGTGAGTGTGGCAGCCTTCTTCCGCGATTTCGAGACTTTGGAGGCTTTGGGGCTGAGGACGGAGTATTTGGATGAAATTCGGGTCTTTGCGCGGGGGTTAGTGTGGGCATTGAGGGATGGGAAGGGAGGCGGGAGGACGGACACTTGTTGGGCGGGCTTTTAGGAGGAGGGAGGACTGCGAGAGCCACTCTGCGCTGGTTGAGAAGCGAGGCATTTTGGGTTGGTGGTGTCGTGAGGAGAGGGATGAATTGGGGAAGCTTTTCGCGGGGTTGGATGGGGATGGAAAATCGTTTGGCCGAGAGGTTTTGAGATTGAGGGTTGGTCTTTCTTAGGCATCCATTCTACTTGCAATAAGAGGTCTGATTCACCAAATACTACGCTTGAAGACCATCAGTTGACTGGCTAAGCGGTAGACCTTCTCAAATACAGCCGTCCTCTCAAATTTGGACGTCCTGATGCCCTTAACTCAGCCACAAACTTCTTATGACTAGCATTAGCAACTCTTAGAATCTCTTGGAACCTATTTATGAGTCAAACGTATTCTTAACACTTTCAACTTGTTAAAATTTCTATTCCTCAACATATAGCGTTCTGGCTCGAAGCACTTCACAATCATGTCGAATCAGCATGGCACCGAACAGGCGCCTTCTCAGCTTCAGGCTCTAGCCGGAAACCACAAAACGAAAGAAAACCCTTTAGATGTCGACATGAAGTCTTTAAACATTCATGACAGCATGGACGTAGCCTCCGAGGTGTCCGAATCAGAGGACGGAAAGGTCGCCAACCAACCATCTGAGGACATTAAAGCACCAGAGAATTCAGCCGAGCTAGAAGCTATTGCACATGACTTATTGAATAGAGCCAAGTCTCTCCTATCCGAGGTCGAAACATGGATTGAAGCTGTTCACCAGAAGAAACTAAGCACGGGTCAACGGGCCGTGGAGTACAGGACCCTCAGGAATGACATCGAAGCCGAAATTGGATTCTTAAAGAAACTGGCTACGATGGATTTGTCTCAAGAGAAAGCGCGGCATTACATTGTCTCCTCCAATCTGATGTATTTTGAAGCCATGTGGGCTGCTGCCAAACGATCTTCGGGCCTTTTAGCCTTCCGGAAAAATCTGTTCCACAGTCGGCCAGCAGACCGACGAAGAGGAGTCGAGCAGAAGTAATATTACCTTTCACGTGATGCTTTAGATTGGACTAATTTGATTCTAGGGGTGTCAGATCATCGAGAGCTCGGGGAGACGACAAAGCATTTGCTCTTGTTGATATCATCGCTCGCGATGGGCTTGAGTGGATAAAAATCTCGACTATGTCAGAAAAACGACTCTTGTTCGATCTCGCTAAGTTAGGATGGCAGAATGACGCCTTTTCAGACTCTGAAGATGAAGACATGGATGATCAGCCAAGTAAACACGATGAAGATGATGACGACGAAGTGTCCTTGGTGAAAACGGCACGAGACCTAGCAAAAGGCGCCCCCAAAAGTCGCGTCATGGGTAAAATACCGACTGTGCGTTTTGTGCTGCCAAGGATACATTCCGGGAAAATAAAAGAGATCGACAGTGTCATCCAGAAGATGAGAGCTACGGGCGCCATCGTAGAATGTGGGAACGATTTAAAACCACCTCTATCGATGGAAGCTGCCTTACCTCGTCTTCTCGTCGATCGATCTACCAACTTCACTGAAACTCTCAATATCGATTGTACCATTCTCCTTGCGATCATATCCGACATCAGTCATGCCGACGTACCAATACAGGACTGGTACCCTCCCGCGGTCAAATCTCAGATTGTTTCCGAGGCCAAGGAACGTCTTCTCCCCACCCAATTCTACCCAATCCTGAAAGGTCGTTCTATGGTCTGTACAGAAGAGGCCGCACTACAAATGAAAGAGATTGCAGCTATTATCGGCACGGAATCAGAGAAACAGCGTGCCCTGATTCTCTTCGGTGAAATCTCGCACCAATCTAGAGAAGATCTAGTCGTGGCTTGGTCGAAGCTATCTGCTTACTCTTCTCCGCCGGACTTGCTTCTTCCTATTCGAGTCGTTCCAAAATATGTACCAGATGCCCGAATCTCCCCAACAGCTGCAGCAGTAGCCTCCGAACTCACTCCGATCAATAGCTCCGTGTTTCTATTTGGCTGGATGGCTGGTCTCACTACATTGACATCGAACCGGACCACAGTCAAGCAAATAGACCGTATTGTCGACGATGTGGGCTTGGAGGATTGGGATTCGGGGCCGTTGCTCTGGGTCTCTGAAGAGGCGAGGAGCTTGATCGCGAAGCAGGGCAGGCGGAAAGCGTAATGCATTCATTCTATTTGAGGGTCTGAGAGTGTAGAAAGGAAACAGATCACCTTAGCTTGGAGACAAACGTGCTATTCACGAACAAACAAAAGCGAGTGCGGACGAAGCCACTCTTAGGCTTAGTATGTTTGACAAGTCTACTAACCTTGAAAGCCAAGGCTATTCGAAGTTCCACGAGAAGGCTAATAACAGCTTTGTATTTCGTATGTTGCGTGCAGAGCTTCATAGCAACCAACTCTCTTTTAGATCTCTCTTTTAAGTTCAATGAGCTCCTCCAATCCCAACCTTTTGCCTCATGTCGGCTTCACTAGTGAACGGACTGGTACAGGCGTTTCCCTTCCATCGTTACATCCTTCACACCTTGTCCATACAATTCGATATCACACACCTAATCATCTAGGCTGGATATCTCTCCGGACGCACGAAAGATGTCAGTGTATTAAGAGGTATATGCCTTCTCTAATCTTCACCTGTTTTCCCGTATCCTCTAAGAGATACACGCCACAGCAAACACAGCCGACACCGCCAGCACCCCCGCCCCTCCAACCCCCGTCAACGCGCACGCTCCACTCGTACTCGTCGCCACCACGATGCTCGCCGTCCTCGTCGGCGTAATCCCAACCATCTCCAACCCCCCCGTAATCGTAACAGGCTCATAATCGCTCGCCCCCACGTCGAGCTGAACACCGACGAATGGTTTACTCCACGGCCGCCAAAGTTCGTCAAATTTCACGCCGCAAACGTGGTGTCGTACCGCGAACACGTCATGATGTTCCCGATCTCGTTTGTCGTGTACGCGTACGTCGACGGGCCTTGCGTGACGATGATCGGGGTGGAGGCGATGTCAGTGTCGAAATTTGTCGAGGGCCTGTCCGAGACTATGTAGGTGTTTTGGGCGTATACCACGGTAGAGGTGATGAGGTAGGTTGTGGCGGTGTCACCGAGGGCGATGATGGAGCCGCCGTAGTTGGTGTGGGGGCGTGATCGAGCTAAAAAGTAGGACCTCGTTTCTTCACCGGTGTTCAACGTTGTTCTTGGCAATATTGGAGGATTTTCCCATGGGTGTTTGGGTGTCACTCCACATCGGCGTCGAGGAGGCTGGAGGAAGCTAGATCTCTGACAGAGGAAGGTGACAAGCGAATGCCGCGATGGCTAAGCGAGTGCAAAAGCTGTTCCCATTGGCTAGACCCTTTTCATAGTTCCTTTACGTCTTGCTTTTGAGGTGAAAGAACTTGACAGATCCTACACACGTATGGGCTTACTCCATTACTCAGGTTGAAATTGATGTGAACTCTGATTTCTATAGACGTCTAGCTAGTTGTATATATACTAGGGGAAGGAAGGGGGCCACCCCCAGGGTGGCGCGCTAGTAAGTTCAGATGAGCCCTGCACAGCTGAGGCTTCAGCTCGGTTCTCTACAGCTGAGATTTCAGCTGGGTTCTCTACAGCTGATGTTCGGAGAGTAGCTTTCTGGCATATGAGTTGTTGATCCTAGGTTGTAGTGCTGCAACCTGAGTCCATTGGTCATCTCTCGGGGCACGCCAGGGACGAGTATTAGATGCGAATAGGGCTAAGGACTAGATTTTTCTGAAAACAGCGCTCTCATTCATCTTCTAGTATCATTGGAAAAGCAACAGGATCCGATGCTCACTAACTGTCCCTGTAACGACTGAGAACGGCAGTGTTGACCTTTGGGGTTTTTATGGGGATGGACGGTTTAGGTGAAGATGAGGCAGAAGCCACAATGACAATTTCGCTAATTAAATTAAATAGATCCCATCCAAAAGGGTAAATGATGATAAATTGCCAAAGCCTTCGTAATGCATGAGCACGTGTCGTGGGTCCCGGCTCGCTCGAACCGGCGTCGGATCTCGACTTTCTAATAGATACGTAGGGGTTCAGGATTTGCGCGAAGAACTTCAATTAATTTTATTAGATCCGGTCTTTAACTAGAAGGCAGCAAGTGCAGATTTCATCGCACACAAGCGGTCAAGGTATGATGAACCAAGGGGTAATCACCCGTTTCTTTTGCAGCTTTATATCAAGACCATGCTTGACGAGGCTGATGTATCGGGATCAAAAGCAGGGACCATCACACCGCTACTCATCGGCGTCTCCGTCAGAATAATGCTCAGGATATCGCTCCTTGACGGGGATCACTTTTAAATTCCCCTCTTTATTGTCAAAGAAAGACCTGAAGTAACTTGCCATGGTGTGACTATTTGGCACACCGGTCTCCAGAAATCGTTGGAGATCATGTACTGTTACATTTCGCGCATCGATGGGTCCGTCCTGAAGGGGACGATAAAGATTATCGACCTATATAGCAGCTCTGACAAACGTGATCGCCAGTCTGACCCAATTGACACAGTCGTTAGCACTCTCAACACCCGGCGGCCGACGGTACTCCACTGTGCCCGGTTTGCTGGACAACAGGTTTGTGAAGTTCTAGGCAAAATATCGATCGAAGTGATGTTGACATTTGGTATTCCCTTCAAGCGGGTTCATCAACCCGATGAGCGTAATGAGCTCAGGGAGATTTTCGATTCCGCAAATGAGATCGACGGGATCCTTGGTTGCGCAAATGGCCTCAATGTGATTCTTGGTTCCGCAAATGGGACGGTCGGGATTCTTGGTTTTGTCAATGAGATCGACATTGTCCGCATACTGCGCCTCAAATCTGCGATTGTCCGCCCAATTGGCCTTTACGTATTCGGCGCGTTTGCTCTTCTGAGCATTTTCGGTGTACTCTTTTCTCCATGAGATCACATCTGGCAAAGTATCGAGGTTCCTCTCAGCCTCCGGATATGAGACTTCAAAGGCACCCTCAAAGTACAAGACGCAACAGCTCAACTTTCGCAGATCTTCGATATGCCACTTCTTATCTCTTGGTGACAAATGTACATGTGTGCCGCAGGTTGTGTTTGTCGACATCACCTCTTTGCTCCAGAGCCCCAAAGATTCGTTCGACGGCCGGTTTCCACTTCTCGCTAGCATGTTTATGCTCATCGAATAGGATTGGAGATATTGCCTCGACTGAACAGGTGTTATCTGCGATATGTATGAGCTTTAACTCTTCTTTAAACCCAAGTTTGGCTGGCCGGGAGGGGACATAACATAAAGCTCCACATACCATGGTGGCTCTTTCCTTGGAGAGTGGGGTCGTACTTCAGCTGCCATACCCTATACTCGCGAACCAGCGGGTTGGATTCATCGTATACGACTATCTTCAGATCCTTTTTTCAGATGTCGTTTCATGTCCTTCTCTAAGATGGTGAACCTCTTCTCTCTTGCAACTGGGGACACATCTTTCCCTCCATTATCGTACTGGGGAAGGCATTCAATCTCGATGCCTATCCTAAGGTCAAGGTTTCGAGCATTGAGCGGAGGCTTAGGAGACCGGCGTGCTATCTTGAATTTACTCTTGCTGAAGAGCTTCTTGAAAGTCAATCGAGGTTGAGGATTCTTGGACTTTCGCTTGCCGTCAGGCATTTTGGGGGGGATGATCAGATTGGGCTTTCGCAAAGGGAAACGGTTCTCTCTCAGAGGACAAGGCTGATTGATATAGATTCAGCAGACTAGGCAGTGATGATAGTCAAAACAAGGTGCTGCGCCAGCCCTTCGATTCTTTATAGAATTTGGATGCCCCTTATAAGGCTGCGATACCTCACCCACCGCACAAGATGCGCACGGTCTTGTAGACGCAAAGCTATAATTTTAGTAACGGCTTCTCACTCTTGCATGTCATTCCGTTGCGCTGGACTGCCCAAATTGCCCGTTTCGAGGCTCCATTGGCTGCGCAACACCCAGAGAGGATGTCATGGTGGTCGACTAACCAAATCCGGCGAAAAGGCAAACACAGGGCGGAGTTCAACGAACATGATTGAACTGTTGATCATGCAAGAGCAGTTCCGATTTATTGTTCTGCATGCGAACAGACGCATACATGGGGCTGAGCCGTGATGGTGAGCTATCAGTCGTCAGCATAACCGCTCACCTGCACGCCCACCATTAGGGAAACTTATTCCCCGACGTCTGGAAAGCAGAAGGCATATGCAGCTGCAGAGAGAGTGGCGACGCTGAAAAGTGAGTCTGTAGAGGCGAGCGCGCTAAGGTCTTGGCGAATCCCCCCTACCTACCCTGCTACCTACAGCGCCTGCTCACGTCCGGTGAACTGGCGCAGATTTGACGACACAGGTGCACTAAATGGGATTAGAACGGAGGAAAGCCTTGTCTGGACTAAATCTTACCACGGCTGAGCTGAATTCGCTAAAAGCACAGTGCTGCGAGACGTTACTTTCGAGACTATCCCTCTTTTGCAGCTGACTTTTGTGGCTTGATATCCGTGCTAGTTCACCGGACGCGGGCAGGCGCTGTAGGGGTCGTTGCCTCTGGGAACACCCGTAACATCCACTTTCAACCCTCCCTAGAATGTGAAAGTTCCCAGGCCTTCCACCGCCTATGATAGAGGCGCTCACGGGGGGGGATTTAGGAGAGCATTATGTCAAGACGAAAGACACGATCTTCTCCAGAGCCTGCAGGTCTCCTTCCACGGTCCCAGAAGTCTCTTTATCAACCCATCCTTCAGTATAACTCCCTCCAAAGTCAACAATCCACGCATTATTCTCAGTATCAATAAGGACGTTATCCACCTTAGCATTTCCCCAGACAACCCCTGATCTATGCAACCCCGTCAGTGTTTCCGTGACCTGGGTTGCCCAATGCTGTCTCAATGAGAGTGGCGTGTCGGGACGTATAGCTGTCCCTAACTTTTTACGTTCATAGTCGATATAGGTGAGTAACATGTCTATTAGAAAGCCCTCTTCATCTTGTACAACACCATGCAATCGACAGATCAGCGTACTGGACCCTAGATCCACCATGGCAATCCTCTTGTAATTCTCTAGCTCGGTTTACGCCTGACTTAATGCTCCGGGGTGGAACAGCTTAAAGAAGTACGCCGTCTGGCTATTGTGAACAAGCACCTTCTCGGGATGTTTAAAGAGTGCATCGTCCGGCTGATCGAAGCTGAGTTCGACTTCAGACGGGTGGAATGGCACTGCCCATGTAGCTAAGTCACGGAGGGACTCAACATCCAAGCGTACCCCCGGTGGCATGTGGCCTGAACGCTGCGTATGAACACGTCGCGACCGCAATGTCTTATCGAAAGCCTCGAGCCTGCAGACGAACCACTCGAGAAATAGGTAGTCGTGCAAAGTGGCTCGTCCACCTCTAGCTTTCTCTAATGCTGAGGCTGTAGCGGGCGCCAAATCTGCGATGAGTGTCTCAAACGGCGGCATAATCCAGTCATAGAAATCGGACTCTAAGGGTCCATCAATTAGCTCCTCGCCTGTTTTCATCACTTCGAGGCATTCGCGATAGTACGCTGTTGCAGCAGGTGGGTTCTGAAAGTCTGACGGTGAGATATGGAGGTAAAATATCTTTCCGTTGCTCCGCACAATGATCTCGCAATCATCATCGTTCAGGCTTGTCGTGTGGGATGCGATGTGATATTTTGGACGACTCATTGCTGCAGGATCGCACCCTAGGAAGGGTTTCAATTTGCGAAGGATTTTGGATGGAGGTATACTTCTTTCTCGAATATGTGATGCTCTGAAGTACGCTGAGAGGGACAACGTAAGAAGACCAAAAGCCGGTGGTCACCAGTATGGACTTCGTAGTAGTGGAAACAGCTGGTAGCCTTTGCGAGGAAGTTTGAGCGGCTGGAGTGCGTGCTCGTCGAACGGGTAAATGAGCCGGCCTGACAATTGTTGAGGTCGAGTGTTGGAGGACGGCTTCTCAGCTAGAGGCGGCTGTGCCGCCCGCAACGTCCCGAGGTCTGCACCGCAATGGCTGCACCGCACATTCGACAGGAAAATCAGCGCGTATTTTGACCAGTAGAGAAATGCAAGTGACTTGAGATCATTGTTGATGCGCGAGAATGTTGTCGCAAGCGCCCTCTGTAAGCAGGCTAAAGGCGGGCGGCCTGCTTCCATCTAACGTCAAGAGTGCCAAGATCTGAAGTCAAAATACTTCTATCCTTAACGGCATTTTGTAACCTGTAATTCCTTCTAGGAAGGTTTGCTATACCAACCAAGCTTCCTCACCCTTTCTGAGGCAATCATTGAACCCTCATCTATTCCAAGCCGGGGTGTCTCATACATCTTTTTCATCCGAGTCCATCCTCACCATCTTCCGCTTCTCCATCCTCTCCAGCCCCGATTGCGTCCTTACAATCGGAGTCATGTCGAGCGTCCCGTCCTCATGCTCCTTGGCAATCTCGTAGCCCTGCGTCTGCTTGGCAAGTTCTGCTTCTTCCTTCTCTTTCGCCTCCACTTTCTTCTTTGCCGATCCAACCCGGAGACGATGCATTCCCACCTCGGTCACCAACGTAAGCCAACCCGTAAGTAGCGCAAACGTCTGATCTGTGTCCGTGATAGCATACGCCGTGCAAGGCATATAGAAACATTTGACGCTCGAGTCGTCCGTAGGAACCGGGGGCCGATCTAGTGGCACAGCGAAGTAGATAATCGGCAAGCTGACCAGCAACAGCAAAGGATAGACCCCAAACGCGCAGACGAGCGCCATCGCCGCCCACTGCACCCCCGTCTCCATCCACTCGGCCAGCGTGTCCAGGCGCTTGCGGAGCGGGCTTCCGTCGGGATAGCGCGGCTTCACGCCCTCCCAGACCCCGAGTGCGAAGCCGTAGCTCGGTACTAGCACCGCCATGGCCAGTGCCGGGACCGCGAGGAAGAAGAGCGCAATGACGGCACGTGACGTGGCCCCGGTCATCGCGCCAGGCGTGTACAGGAACGGGATCTGGTCGTATGGCCAGGGGCTCACCGCGTCGCCGAGCTCGCGGCGGACCACGCCGACGAAGACGACGCACATGGCGATCAGGGGGAGGAGGCTTCCGCCTATAAGCACCAATATGCGGGGAAGCTGGCGGACAGACTCTCTGTCCCCCTCGCTCTTCTCGCCTTCTTTGACGTCTGCTTCTGAGTCTGAGTCCTTGGGGAGCTTATTCCCAATGGTCCACGCGATAGCGAGCAGCTGCGGGATGATCGCCGCAAAGCCCCAGAACACAACCGTCATGCCGGCCGCCACGGGGCCGGCTTCTTTCTTCCATGCATCTGAAGCGAGATCGGCTTGCCAGCCTGCCTCGAATTGGTTCCAGTGACTGAGGAGGTTGATGGCTGCGATATTGGTAACGAGCATGAAGAGCCAGAGGTTGGGGTCGATGCCGCTCTTGTGCCCGACCCACATGCGGTACAGGGTGCCGAGGAGGGTGAGGAGCCAGGCGAGATAGGCGCCGGGGCCATAGATGGGGCTGATGGTGGCGATGCCGAGGAGGTCGGGGGCGGTTGCTGTGACGGGGAGGTAGATTGGGGAGGTGGTGGTGGCGTCCGCCATTTTTGAGAAGTTAGGGTAGGATGTGAGGGGCGCGAGGAAGGTGGTGGGTAGTGGGCGCATATATAAAGTAGAGCGATGTTACAAGGGTATCTTGAAGGGTAGATAGAGGGGTAAATGGTCGAATCAGGACGCATAGCTTGGCCACGGCTCAGCCTCAACGCCCTCCAATTTGCTGTCTGGAGGGTAATATTCTAGTCCAGCATCGCCCAGACTCGGCCTAGTTTCAAACGTGCAGCAGCGATGATCTGCGGCTCGGTAAGGGAATCTATTATTAGGTATACGTTCTGAGGCTGCACTCAACGTGCGCATGGTCTCGTATACAAGACATCCGATTGCTATGAGGTGTATTAAATGCTCAGCGATGGTTGAAGTTCAAAGCCGGTAGCTTCTTCAGGGGTGATGCATCTGACAAGTCTCAGTCCGACCAATCAAGCTTCGAGGATTATCCGCTGGCGCCGTTCAGCCTCGTAAGCAACAACACTTCAACAAACTCCATCTCCAGAATCTCAGCTTCGACGGTGTCTGGGGACCGAGCGTGAAATCGAGCAACGGAGTACGGAGTGTAATACGCATAATGGCTCCACCGAAGCAGTTCGAAGAGAACAGCAAAGCGAGCGCGGCGGCGAAAGAGCGGAGCTCCGTCACTCTTCGAATGCCAAAGCGTATCAAAAAGAACGGTAAAGCGAGCGAGGCCGCAAAGGTGCATCTGTTTGTGACCTGTCTTTCCATCTCGAGGAGGACATTTCCTTAGTCATACGCCCATGGAAGACAGACCATGAGGTAGAAAACGAAGTGCGACGTCTGTAGCGAGCTGATCCGTATGTTCAAAGAGGCAGGCCATACCGGATTTGTCCCACTCGGCTCTCTCGAACAAGTCGTGGTTCAGTCAGATTGCAAAGAGCACAAAAACCTAATCTCTCGATGTCTGCGAGTAGATCCAAAGCCCTCCCCCTACGTAGACTTGTGCGTGAGCCGGGCCATAGAGCCACCCACGAGCTTGGAAATCTCTGTTGAGTTAATTCCGAGACCTCGTATCAATTCAGTGCCACTTTCATTGCCACAGAGAGAAACCATGTCAGGCCGCATTGGCTATGGACGATCTTTGCACCGGGAATGGATCGATATCAATCTCATCAATCGCTGGAAGTAATGTTGTCAAGATTCTCATGGGGAAGGGTGCGATATGTCCTCTGCAGCTTTGGGATTCTCGTTGGTAGGACCGGCATGGCTGATCGACGCCTGGAAGCGGTGTCTTGTACCTGCGCCCTCTGACAATAGTTACGTCGCACTAAGGTATGTCTGGGGATCTGGAATACGGAATTTCTCTACTTGCCGAGACAACATCGAGGAGCTCTAAAAGCCAGATAGCCTCCGGTATCATTCGATCCGGCAACAGATCCCGAATACTGTCAAAGACGCCATCGCCTTTACTGAAAAAATAGGTGAAAAAGTGCGCGCCAAGCAATCTTCCATAAACTAGACCTGGGAAGCAATGAGCCGGACCTAAGAAGGCCGCTCAACTCTTGCAGGGCAGGCCGACCCAGTATGCATATATTCCTATGGAACCGCAATCAACCACCTCAGAATCTTGAGGTTTGCACTTCAATTTTCTAAGGGGTTTTATGCTAACCCTTGTATGTATTTGGCTAGTTAGATTAGGCAATATATTATTCCGTGTTTTCAAATTTGAATTCTATCATTACGGTTTCTGTTTTCGTGTCGCCTTTCCTTTTCTTTATCTTGAAATGACCGCGTATCCTTGCGTTTCCACCAACAAAGGGCCGGCGCTGTCCATATAGGGCCTCAATGTCAGTAACGGTGTCCCCGCCAGTTCCTAGCGCGCTGCTCAACGAAGATGGTGGACATCAATCCCTCTTTCATCCGATTTAGGAACATATCCAACACCCTACTTACGACACGTAGAGCACGCGTCTCAGCAGACTTGAAGAGGCCGTGTGTTGTTGACTCTGAGAGCCACGAGCTTGCAGCTTTGTGAACCCCTCACCTATTGACTAGTTGGGACCCAGTTCCAGGCCCAAGGCGCCAGGTTCAGCAAGCTGAGATGCAGCCTACTATCCTGAAACTCCGCCTTGCCTAGGGCTCAATCCTCCAAGGGTAAGTGAGTTTACGATCGTATCGCCAGCAACCAGTGAGCTTATTGCACTAGAGGCAGTTGGAGTTGGAGTAATGGAGTGGGCTTTTTTAGGGTCTGGAGCGACTTTCTGGTTGATCCAACATGGACTGAATTAAAGGCCTTGGACGGTCCTGGAGCTCCAGACCTCTCTTCTAACTAGAAAAGGAGACTAGAAAAGGATAGAAAAAAAAGAGACTGATGACGTAATACTATCACCTACGTGATAATAAGAATTACCCCCCAACTAGAGTGCTACAATGTTTGAACCTATTGGTAGTAAGCATATAGCATAAACTAGAGCACTATTAAGGATAAATTGGTATCTAATATTAGAGTGCAGCATAAGTAGTAAAATTTCTTTCCCTCCTCCTAAATCTTCTATGTTAAGCCAGATTAGGGAATATACTTAGCCTCGTAAGGTTATTTTTGTATCGCGGTGGAGCTGCTGAAGCTCCTGGAGCCAAACCGCGATTTTTCTGGACTGGAGTGGATTTGAAGGCTCCTCCAGTCCACTCCAGGCCAATAAGAGCACTGCTAGCAACAAACTCCCTCGCGGCAAGTCGGTCTCCGATCGTTACTGGCCGAATGAGCCCGGAGCCCCAAAATTGGAGCTATACAATACGAAAGGATCTCAACTCCGTGGCTGCATATGTTCTACACTTTCACACCTGTGAAGGAGCTGTATCACCGTACAGGGCACCCATCCACGTGATAATTGAACGGCGCGATCAGTCATTACCACCATCATTTAGCCTCCACCTCGCGCTGGTGGTCCGTTTTTGTGCCCCCAAGAGGGATTTCGAAACAGACACTGAAGGTAGTGAGATGAGAGGTATGATACTTTGGAGGTATTGTGGCACCGGGCAAGTCCGGTCACAGCATGGCTTCCGGCTTCCACTGAGACCTTGGCCGAAAGTCGGTCCGAGGTGTATATTTCTAGGAGCTTCCTACGAAAGGAGCTTACTATCAAATTGCGAGCCAGAATTTCAACAAGAATGCTCGCCAAGACCTTTGGGACGATATTACATCAGCGTTCTCTGCAAAGAAGGCGGCGGATGCATTTGGTTCCAAGCGCATAGGAAGCCAAAGAGCACACGAATCAATCTGGAGAGCCATCTTTAAGGACGACATATGGCTTGAGCTTGCACGTGGCCCACCACTCAACGTTATCCGGTCCTTGTTGGCCCCTACTTACACAAATACTGGTATATTTCTACGAAGAAAGAAAACAAATCCCGGAAAATATATTTGGTTTTTATTACATGTGATTGGGATGGCAAACTTCTTCACAAGAAAGCAGAATTCTTTGAAATTTACTTGCGGACCAGCACGGCGAGCTTCAAAGATAGCGGTGGTTCTGTCTACAGTAGTTCGGATGCCTAGTCAGGGAGTTTGAACCTGTTTAACCTCATAGACAAGATAAGTCTGGACAATATTGATCCTGGTGACTTATTGTTTCTTAGCGATCGAGATCAATTCCAAGTGTAAACTGGCTAATCCCTCTGTTCCGCTGAGAGAAGAATTAAATCCCTCAAACCAAGGATGCTCATAATTAAGTCGCCTGCTATTCTCACGAATATCTCAATTTAGCCGCTACGAACAATCGTTTCGCGTCGAATCAAGCCGGAAAGTGAGACGGCCCTCAGCGCTTCCTGTGACTAGCTCTTGCCCCTTGCTGACTCGACTGAGAGGCCCAGGATAAGGGTAAGATAACGTGGTCCTCAATTCAAACCTCTTCTTTACTTGAACCACCAGCCTTGCCGTAGAATCCCGGGAATATCTCCTGGTCCTGCAAAGCCGAACTTCGCATCTTCTCTTTTAGGTCAGGCGGAAACTCTAGCTCTAAAGCATTCTAGTTAGTATTCTCTATACCTTACAGTCGGTGCCCAAATCGCAGACTCACTGGATCCAATACCATCTAGTAGTCGAACAACCTTCCTCGCGGCGCCCACGGACTTGAAAAACCTTGTTATGAACATTAGCTGCTCGAACTAGCTTCCGAAGACAAAACATTGACAGCTGCTATCCTGGACGACTCACCCACCAGGACCGTGACCGTAGTTGTGCACGACGACACTCTCTTCCGGCATATCCTTGAGTTGCTCTACCTCTACTCTTGCCCCGCCTTTCCTATGTGGCCTAATACCCACATACTCGTTCAGAACCGTGAAATCGCCATTGTCATTTAGACACTCTGGTATTAGCTTTTTGCAATTTTTCAGGACTTTCCTAACGCAATCAAGATTTACAGTTTCGTTCCTAGTATTCAACCATTAGCTTACTCCGTCAATTGGATGCTTTTTGCTTAGTGAATCCCACCAATTTCCAACCTCCAAATATCCTCCTAAAACGGTAAGACCCGCGCCCACCCTTGGAATGGCGTAGTAGATACCATCAGCATCTATCCGGTCCGCATACTTATAGGCTTCCCCTTTAATGTGGACTGACTGATCTCTGATAATCAATAAATCCTTATCGCCAGCTAGCCTCATTCCATTTGTACCCATCGCGTTCACATAGGCGTGTATGTCTTTTGAGTCACCCAATTCAGCTGCAACGAGCTGTCTTGCTACTTTTAGTCCCTGCTCCAGACCCTGGTCAACAGGTAGAACCGCACGTTTGATAGTGCCGCCTAATGCAACAATGCGGGACTGAAGATAGTCAAGGTATGCCGGTGTATTCACGCTGAATGTTGTGTAGGTTGTACCAAAGTTTACCCCTGACGGAAGTTCTTCAGAGTCTAGAATCCTAAAGGAAGGTATATCCTTTGAGTGCCAAAGTGCGGATGACCCGTGCTTGACGAGGTTTTCGGGAGGATTCTCCCTTTTGCACATACGAGTTACGTTCGCTCTGTGATAATGATGGACCATAGGGGAAACTCACCAATATCGAAAGCAAGGTCGTTTCTTTCTCTTAGTTAACACACCACTTAGCCAATATGTTAGCTATTAGCGAGAACTCACAACAACTCCAGCCGCCTCGAATTCGTTCCCTTCCGACATGATCTCCCACTGTTTATACCCTTCGTCGTACCACCGTCTCGTTTCAGCATCCACCGTAGGCTCATCGGAAGCCCAAGTAGCGGCAGCCCTAACGATATAAGGATGCTACCGACTGCTTGTAAAAGGATACTCACTGCTGGGAAGGATAGTGAGCGTCTATATCACCTGGAAGGTGTTTCGCTATCACATTGACCGCATAGCCAGCCTCGAGCAGGTCGACTGCTGTTTGGAGACCCACGACACCACCGCTACAGTTGTATCAGAAGCAACTGGCTTGAGATACCAGAAAGAGCACTGACCCTAGAGCAATAACTCTTTTCGGCACGGAGAACCCTGAAAATGGATGATAAGACATAGACATCGCGGCTATCACGCTGAGTACCAGACCGATTCAATGCTTCTGCACGATCATAATACGGCTCTGAACTACAGAGCAATACAAACACGAGTTGGAGGATAGATGGAAATATGAGTCTGCAAAAAGAGAACTATGCTCACTTATGGGAGGGAATTGGGAATCCAAGTAAAATGCGGGGTCGAATCAAACCCCAGGGCATTAATACTGTTGTACCGGGACCGACAACTCCGAGGTTCGCTCCGTCCACAACGTACCGAGCCGTCCCAAGTCACCATCTTCGGATGGTGGATGTTCTTTGGTCCGACTGCTTCTACTCCACAGACACCTGTCATATCAAGTGCTTGTTGTAAATTTAACCTGCTTACTACATTCTTCGAATATGTCTATATTCGGTTGGCTTGTTACGGTGTTTGTAACAGACATCCGAGGTGAGTTGCGACAGGCTGTGCGAGCTCATCTTACAGATGGTGTGGGCTAATTTAAACCAGATCGTCAGTCTTTATAGGAGTGCGAATACAACGGTTAGGACATATGTTTGTAGACTTCTTCCTTCCTTTACATAGATCGTATATAGTTCTACCCCAACGCTTTACGAAAGGTTGTGCAACCTCATCTTGCAACGGTGTAAGCTTTTTCGAATATGATTATCAGCAGAACCGTGAGACGATGAACAGGATTTATTTTGAGGCTTCTTGTTGTATTCATTTAGATAGAACGTATAGAGCTCATCACTAGCCCGTATACATTTTCACGCTCAACTTTGCAGTTTTGGCATTACCTCGCCCTATTACCTGTGATTCATCGCTGCTCATAGGCCGTGAGCTCGTAGTTGGACCTCAGATAACGAGTTGGAGTTGGAGGACTCTAACGGATTCGACCTTTTTCTGCGAATCTGTCTCTAGATCTCAGCAATTGGGGACAAATGGCATCTGAATGGTGGCCTAGGACAGAGGGTGAATGGTGTCGTGGGACGAATACTGTCCTAAGACAAATAATCTCGGTATTTGTCACGGTCTAACCAGACAAACCCGTAACTAGCACGTGATCTCGCACTATACCACCGGGGCTCGGGATCAGCTGCCCGACTGCAGTAGGAATTCTAATCCTCGCCGGCATAGTGGTGCCAGGTTAGTCAAAACTACGGCGAGCAGCGTAAGGGCGCTAAGACAATGCGACAACAGCATGGATGGCGGTGGGAGAAGGAAGGAAATCGCGAGTGGTGTTGCTGCGAAACGCGAGGCACTTATTTTGAGTCATGTTTCTCTCCGGCTGAAATCAACCAAGAAGATAATTCCGAAAAAAACTCGCAGGTCCCCCTCGTGAAAGAAATATACGAGCGCGCTTCCCATGTGTTGATCTGGCTCGGAACCGCCCCAAACACTGGTCTCGCGGTCCGGCAAATCGCAACCCTCTATCTTCAAACCCACGCGCTTGACGACACCGCCCGTCTTGATGAAGCCACTCGGAAGTTGTGGGATCGCCGAAAATTCTCCCGTTTCGACGACGCTCGTCTTTCAGTGTGCTATGGAGGCTATTCCGTTTCATGGGAATCGTACCAAGGAGTTGTAGACTTTTTCGCAGGCTCCACGCGAGGTGGATCAATGCTCTTGCTTGCGAGTCCGTCTTCTGTTGCTCCTTCATTATTAAGGTCTTATAAATGTGCCCCGGATGGAACGCATGAGGAGGGGCATATGCGAGCGGAGAACGCAGACGCCTTGACACTCTCCTGCGCGCTCACATCAAATACAAGGCCAAGCATCCTCGTGACAAGATCTACGCGTTACAAGGCATCAGCCGTGATACTCACGCAGTAGTTGTTGACTACAACCGGGAAGTTGGAAATGTGTATCTGGACGCTGCATGTTACCTGCTGGCAGGCCAAAGCTAAAACCCGAGGTAGCTAAATTGCAACGCCAGTTCTGCTGGGTGAACCGGAAATTTAACTAGAAGTAGAGGGTTATAAAGTTTACTAATAAGTGTTTAGTTTAGCGGGGTACTGGCCAGGAAGCTAAGTAGTGCTTCCGCTTTCTAGATAAGAAATTCCACCCTAAGATAGTTACAGAGAAAGAAAAGGCTAAGGGCATATCTTAGATAGTTTAGGGGGCTATTTAGTTGACCCTAAATAGGAGGGTAGGATATAGTCCCCTAATTATTATAGAAAGGGACTTTAAGTCTAAGAAGAATAGGTATTTAGGCAGATCTTACATTAATACTTTGGAAGAAGGCCTTCTTCTATAGTACTAACCTGGGCAGATCTTTATATAAGATAATACACCTATCTATAATACTAAATAGACTAAAGAATAGCTGGAGTTCCAGGGTATCTGGACTATAGACTGGCCACTGTATTTACTAGACCTTAACCTAATTAAATATATATAGTAGGCCCTTAAGAAGATAATCTATAAGCTCTACCTAGAATTAGTTATAATAGGGCATTAGAGGAGGCATAGGAAGCCCTGTGCAAAGCTATAAAGGAGGTATAGATAAAGATACCTAATTTAACCATTAGGTCCCTTATTAAGAGCATGCCAAGGCGGGTGGAGGCTAAGGAAGGCCAAGGGCTGGCAAACTAAGTACTAGGACCGAGCGAACCTCAACACCAAATCTGGCTTGATTTCCTCTCATTATTGTATCAAATTGTAACATAGACGTTCGATTGTAGAATCTGATTTTGGGGCCCGTGCGTTGTACTCGGAACATACTTTTGTCAACCGACTGTACTCGCGATCAGGCAGATAGAACCACGGGTCTTAAAGCGAATCATTTGGCGCGCGGCGGCGGAAGCGGACAAAAAGACGCCGGTGTAGTTGATGTCCATAAGGTATTGCACATCTTCAATCTTATGGTCGACGCTATTCTGCGCCATCTGCTTGCCGGCCGCTGTGGGCAAGTGCGTGTACGGGTCAGCGGCGTGTGATATGTTGGTAGGCCTATATCAATGGGAGCTAAGAAAATGGCAATTGGAGAAGACGGTACCTGCAATCAAGCCATCGAGGCGCTTTCTGTCTTCCGCTATGCTGGTGAATACTTCGTCGAGTTCCTTTTCATTAGTAACATCAACTCGGTGGTAGTGGAGTGAGCCGCCGAATTCGGGAAGAATGCGGCTTTGGGCTGCGGCCCAGGTTTCATCGGGCTCAGCAAGGAGGTCGAGGCAGTGGACTGTGAGTATGTTAGTGTCGATTGAGGCGTGTGCGTGGAGTTATGTCGAGACGAGAATGGCATACCTTTTCCTCCTGCCTCAACCAATGCTTCTGCCAGACAGAGTCCTAGACCTCGTGCGCCGCCTACCAAGAGTAGTGAGCTACGTGGACTTGCTGAAGTCTTGTGTCAGGTTCTATTATACCAGTGACTATGTATACGCCTCCCGCGAGGTCAAACTCTCGAAACCGCATGCTGCCAACATTTTCGCGATGGCTAGAGTATTTGAGGGGGTTCTTGAAATCGACGGGGTATTTGAAATGGCTCGTGCGTAGGAACATCAAAAATGACGGAGAATGCCGCTTGTAAGGGCAATCGCATACAAATTAGCATTCTATCGCATATTTGATGTTCCTCACACCGTATCTCAATTGATTTTGTATATTGTCAAGTCCTAGCATAGTGTTAAGGTTGCAGGAGTGCTAAGAATACATAAGAATGCCTCCCCACGCTGTTTTTTGTACTGCACGTCCATCACGCTGCATTAAATAACACCCTTAATACTAGGGCAATAGTATAGATATATAACTTTTTTAATAAGAATCTATGCTCTAGGAGTAATATACAGTATCTTTCAACTGCTAATTCTGATTTGGGGCTTAACTTCTGTTGGAATTTATGTACATCTTGGTGAGATTAGCGTTTTCTGTTGATGCGCTTGAGAATGGTATCCGGGTGTATCCCATAGGCGAATGCGCTAGCTGAGGGGCTCCCGTAATATTCAGATTGATGTCCACTGATGGCGTCCTGTATAATCTGTTCTTTGGCTTGTCCACAGTGCAATAGCAGCATGGTAAGTGGGTGTATTAGGAATAAGGGGCCACGGGGCGTAGGGGCGAGCTGATTTTTGGGTGTTCACAGCAGAATCGTTGATCCTGACCAATCAGAAATAGGCGGTGAGGCGTACGCACGAGCCATTTCAAATACCCCGTCGATTTCAAGAACCCCCTCAAATACTCTACCGGGAATGTTGCCGTCTGGCGACGTGACGTTCTCGCGACAACGGACTGCGCGAATTGGGATTGAAGCCATTGAAAGATTGCGACAGCATGCATGGAGGAGTGTGGAAAGGATTTGGCGAAGGAAGGGTCCGTTGAGAGTTTCAGTGAGGGAGGACCAAGAGCTAGATCGAAGGAACGTAGCCGGGCGCGTTCGTGGCTTGTGAGTGAATGGAGGGAGGCGCAGTGTACGCCCACATGACGTAATTTCTTGGTCGTGTTGCCGAAGCGGAGGCCCAGATTTTTAGGACGAGCTTAATTACCACCCCCCTTTTCTCTCCGTATCACCCCCCTTTTCTCTTGCTATAACCCCCCCAAGATTTAGCTTAGCTCCAGCCTGTAACAACTTTGTCTCACCAATTAGAAGCAGAACCACCAAGCTTTAATACGGAATCTACGTTAACCCGCGTGACTTCACCACCTACTATGCCTATTTAGCCCTGTGCTACTAGGACTGCCACGCATTTATAGAGGAGAGCATAAGGTCTACTATCTTTCTAGAACGGGCCTCTATCTACTCCTAAGAAGGAGGTAGTTTATAGTTAAGGGCCCGGCATAAAAGCAAGCTATTTAGGCTAAATGCTTAGCTATCTAGGCACGTTCTGTTTTAAATATAATGGCAGGTAGCAGGCTGGTATATAGCTATTAATTCACTCTCGTGGTGTTGCAGATTTAAAGCTTTGAATTTGTGGGACAAAGTTGTTGCGGGCCGGAGCTAAGCTAAATCTAGGGGGGGTTATAGCAAGAGAAAAGGGGGGTGGTAATTAAGCTCGTCCGATTTTTATTATAACTAACTACCAAGTGCGGCTCGCGGCATAATCAAATACGTGATATTCTGCCATAGGCTCGTGGGGGCAATCTGGCCAATACGAGTATGGCGATGAGCGATCACGTGATGAGCACCAACTCGAAATCGCGTGAGATTCTGTAAACAATTAGTTACCACAACGTGCTACGCCATTACGCTGGCGCCCTCTCGAGGCTACACACGTGTCAATTCAATTGAAATCGCTTGTAATTACACTCCGGGTTTTCATGAAGCTTGAATGGAAGAATCATGTACATAGAGTGTCTCACTAATGCCTGCTGGCTCTCACTCTATCACTTTACACAACCACGTACCCAGTGATACTCAGTTTAGTTCTTCATCTTCATCCCAAACTAGGGGTAAAGCCGGATGTTATTAGTGGACTATCCGTATAAGGAGGAGCGGAATCTTTACGCAGGCGGAGGCTGCTGGGTTGATAGTAACGGTTACAAACATCATTCCGAGGGTCTATAAGCTATCATTTCGAAGTGTTAGCTATGATACTCAGCAGGTTTAGGGATCCGGTCGCAGCAGGCACTAAAGGAAATGCAGTTGATTTCCGCAGTAAGACATCGCCTCCCGGCCGGTGGGCTTCACTCCGGAGGATGCAGAGGTCATACCTAGCCCTATTGAAACGGCTGGACTAGTTTATGCAGATATGAGAAGGAATGTGAGGCATACTGCACTACAACAGCTAATGGCATGGACGTGCGAACGGCTAGGTTTCTTCAGTAAAGGACGTGATATTGGCAGCCTGCTTTCTATATAGAGGAAGAGGACAAGAAGATTAGATGAACTCGGATTGTCTGTCACAGGCTACCATCAGATTAAGTTACATAGGGAGTAAGAGTGAGTCGGATGCAAGGTCCGACGTTGTGCCAGCTGAGCAAGGAAGATGGAAAGGGAAGAATTGCAAGAGACTAAGACCTCGGGTGAAGGCCTTGGAATGCCTGGAGGTCATGTAGCATTCTATATAGTAGAGGGGATCAAACAAGACGGGCCATTAGAATGGTGGGGTATACAGAGCGCGAAGGACTGACTGTATGACACAATGTTCATAGTAGGTTTTAAAGAAATTCATGTAGTGAAGACAAGATCATGATGGCGTTTTCATTATAGGAACTGCGTTAGTACTCAACTGCCCTCAAGCCTTCTTAGATATTGCAAAGCCTGAAAGAGAGCCGATTGCTCCCATCTCATCCATCAGCCATAGCCGTCGTTAAATACATTTTCACTTAGATCCACCCTTCACACCAGCTTCTTTCGCAGCCTCGCTGCCCTTTGTAAACGCGCCGTCTGAGTCGCGCCCTTCATTGGAGACGTCACCAGCCTAAGTCATGATCAATAAAAATAGCAGTGAAATCAAAAGCAGCCTTGATCAGCTCACATTGAAGTTATCGCCAGCGGTACCTGTAGAACTAGCAGTAGTCCCACCGTGGCTAGCATGACCACCCTTAGCAGCAATTTCACGAACTTCCTCCTTCGGGCGGTTGGCGAAATTGCCAGGATTGGTATTGTCGGTGCTCGCCATATGGCTGGTTGGGTACTACTCGAGAAGTTGAGGATTGATTTGAAGTGAAAGTTGACTTGAGTTTGCCCGTTGCTTTGAACTTGATGGAAGTGGATTGCGAGTGTATAACTAAATGAAAATCTCCGGACAGATAATCCCCTTACAGACAATTACAGCTGCTTTGAAACCTTCATTCTGCTGCAGCCCAGACGTCATCAGTGTGTATACATGGATTCCACTGCAAGTAGAACGCTGAATAGTGACACAATTATATGCGGACTCTGTTCTGTTAGCGGGAGCGATCTGCGTTCCTGAAACGGATGACGGGTGGATGATGGATGGATGATGGCGAGGGATAATGAATGGATGATGAATGTATGATGGCGAGGGATGTTTTTGGCTTGTGGGGGGCCAGGTAACCCGATCAACTCGCTTGCTTCAACATCGCCCTGCGTCTGCAAAATTATAGATGTCAGGGAAGGGATGTTGGCCTTTTTTTCTCCTCGGGTTTTGGGGTGGGGTTTTAGGGACGCGGGTTCGATCGTCGATTGCCGCTGCAAAAATGCCCTTGTTCTGGGACTCATTCCATCCTAGCCCCGTTACAAATGGGCTAGGTTCCTACTTGCGCGTTATTCTAATTGCCGTCCTACTACCCACACCCTTTATACTATCACAAAACTACTACCCCACGTTCTCCAAGATTAGATCTGCTCTAATTACTAGAGATCCCATTTCGTCATCGGCTCCGTGAATCTCAGACAATCCTGCGTCTCCCCAAGCTGCCACCACCCCAGAGCGTGCCAGGCCTCTCCGCCGCCCATATACGCCCAGCACACGCTCAGCTTATTATGTACTTGCAGCCCGGCAAAGACGCCGGACCATTCTCCCCTCCTTGATTTCGAGTATATGTGCGTCTACCGCTTGCGTCGAGCATCAACATTGTTGTCGCCGCGTATTCATCCTCAACTGACTGCCCTGTTGGGGAGCCTCACTTGGACCATCGCCCAATAAACGAGCCCGTCTTGTGCAACACTGCCCGATCTTCAACTCTTCTCTCGCCAAACGTGGACCCCGTCACCCATTTTGTCACCAACACTCCGCCTTCCTCTCTGGCGCTGCTCCCGCTTGGACACCATGAGCTACCGAGGCCTCACTGACAGCCCCATCCTGCCAGCGCCGCCGTCTCATACCAGAGGAACCAGAGCCGACCAATGGAAGCAGGGCGAGGCCCGCGCCGCGTCCAAGCAGAAGCCGCAGAAGAGAAAGCAGATCACCGCCGTCGCCTGCCAGCCTTGCAAACAGCGGAAAAGCAAGGTATATTGACATCCAAGCCTTCCTCTAGGGAACTCCGAATTCCACAGTGACTGATTGGTCCCCGTGTGTAGTGTGATGGCCTCAGACCAGCGTGCTCGGCGTGCCAGCAGAAAAACACCTCCGACTGCTTGTACGATATGAGCGCGGACCAGCGGAGGACGGCCGCATTGAAAGAGAAGATCATGCAGTTTCAGGACCATGGCGAAGAGTTGAAAGAAATTATCCAGATCGTCTGCGAGACGAGTGATAGAGAAGAAGCCATAACCATCGTCAAACAACTCCAGCAAGGAAACTACCATAATTCCACAGAGATTTTGACTCTCTTGAAGACGAAAGTCTCCGGTTTCACCCTGAGCGCTTCTTATCGACGGGACCAGACCATCGACATTGAATACAAGGATAAAGGTTCACTGTCCTCGCCGGACTCTGTGCTATGGGCGCTATCCCCACAGTCGCCTGTGTTTCAAACTGCAGACGCGTCTTGGATATTAGAGGTAAGACTTTTGAGCATTGCGGAAGTAGTGTTGCCATGATAAGATGGTACCTTCTGGTATCTGCTAGAGACTATTATATGGGACACCTTTGAGAATTGAAGGGAACTTAAGACCAAAACATTCGACGAATCAGGCTGACTGATAACAAGACTGTCGAGCAGAAACGGAACCCATTTAGCCCGAATATACCAAGTCCATCGGAAGCTTCGATTCCCACATACGCGACGTCCTCCCAATTATCCCAGGCGCCGTCTACGCTTCTAAGTGGACAACAAGCATCGAGTGAGCAAACGCAATCGCACCCTTATCCTGAGCGAAAGCTGAAAAGAGCAAGGAACTTCGGCAAACCACTAAGGGAAACAATCTGCAACCAAGCAACCAGAATTAGAACCAGCGATTCACGTAGCACAGTAAGATTACTAATATCACCCACGTACGCTGCTTCACTAACACGTCTCAGCCTGTAACTCCACCGGGAACGCTTAGTACAGATAGCACGCTTGTTCCTATTTGCCTGGTACGGCCTGCGTCCGGCGAATACAACGATCTATTGAGCGAGTGCCTCCAGTCATTCATAATGCAAAAGCGTCAAATGATCCAAGAAGGATGTTCAGCTGGGCAGGTATTAGGACCCCTGAAACTGTATCCTACCGTGAACAACTATAACACTATGATGTATTCGCAGAGCAGTGCCCCGAATGTATGTGAGTGGGTCGTCTCAATGATGAGTTGGATGAACATCGACCGGCATCCTGAGAAGATGGCTATGACGCTTCTGGGTGTTTTGTTCCTGACCGTAAGTTGTTCTGCTGGCAACTTCAACACCTGCTGACATGTATTAGTGGGCCATCGTTCCGTCTGAGGAGAACTACCAGGCCATGCCCATCTGGATGCGCCCAACACCTACCCAGATCATCATGCCTCATCTCGCGTGGATCGACATGATTCCTTGGTAAGACATTCCGCCTATCTTGCGGCATGTTTCCTGGTAAATCGCAACGTGCTGACTTCCCACAGGCCTGAAATCCGCGACTCCTTCATCCGCTACGCTGACCAATTGCATGGTATGGAAGGCTTGCAGACCTTCGTCTCCAACCTCTCGGTCAACTGGACCATGCAGGGCCTCGACGTCATGGTTGCGATCCCAAATACGAATGTGCTCGCGCTTAGCCAGGTTTTCGAGGCCTACATCCGCAACCTCGACAATTGGTCCCTCGACCCGGCTGTCTTGCTCGTGTACCCGGACCTGGCGGGCATGGCGTGGTTCACCCCGACCGTCAACAATTCGTTGGGGCTGAACAAGATGGATGGGCAGTATATGTTTCCATGACAATGACCGCATCCCCCCCTCTCCCTCCCCCGTCATTGTATCTCGATACCTTTGTTTCGACACTTTGTACTGGATAAGCATGCAAGGCGTGTGCGCGTGGTGTTTAGGCATTTGACGTGGGCTGGGACCACTAATTGTGTCTGTGTTTGGGAGAGCGCGACCCATTTAGGTCGCGTTTCCGCTGCAAAGAAGGCGGCAAGCGCTCTCGCTGCGTCACGTGAAGACGGCATCTTGTTGAAGACTGGCGCCTTGATAGCATTTATCTATCGTAGCAGAGCGGTCGTAGATGTACTCGTCAGCGTTGCGGTTGATGACTAGTCTAATGACGAACGAACGGACGAACGAATAATGGAGTGCCTTAGGCAGTATACCCCATCAAAAGAAAGCAGGCTGGTCGCATCATCTGCGGGGAGAAAGGCAGCAGGTACATCGAAATCACGCGGAATGCGCAACAGGAGCGATATCATCTAGATGATGTTATAAAGCGACAACGTTGTGTGGCAGGTCGAGTGACGACCTGTCGGGAAGTGCATAGGGATAAATCCGGCCAGTCTTTTATCATTAAATACTCTTAGGAATATGAAGAGCGGTCGGAGAAGGGGCCTCTACTCAAAAATGTAACGGATGCAGGCGTGAAGAATGTGTTAAAGTAGTTACTACCATCACGAAATCCTTCGTAATGAAGGTGACGTCGTCGATGCCCCCAATAATTTCTGCAAAGGGTTGAAAGACGCGGGAGGTATCCTTCTACGTAAGTGGTTATTAGCTTTGACATTGAATCCGGCAAGAAGGGCAAGAAGGGTTCGCGGAAGGCAGCTTTGTCGGCGTGGCGAACTCATGTGGTTAGTATTATTAACTACTGGTGGGAGTTGAGAGCTGTTCAAGAAGTTGCGAAGTGATGTACGCCCTGTCCTAAGACACTACTCTATCTTCTGTACTCTGACAATCATCACACCAGCAGCGTAGACCCGCAGCGTGCCTCCTGTGTAGTAGTGTGTATATGATCGCTGTTGAACTGTTGCATATGTAAGAGTTTGCCTAGGTAACTTCGTGTTGACATGTTGACGTTCTGGTTGTGCGGGCCTACTCCGCTAAACCCCTTTGGATTAGATTCTGCCCCTTGGTCTAGCAGCACGGCTCTAGCCTTGGATTGATATAGTTACATCTCAATTGTTTAGGAGCAGTAATTTTACTATAAGTAGGGCTATAAGAAGTCTGGGCGCCGCTGCTGCCATCCTTATATATCTCTACCCCTAGAGCCCTAAGTTAATTCTTAGGTATCTAGATTGCTTGCGCATAGTAGCTGCTATCTAATACAGCCGTGCAGGTTGCTAAACTAGGGAGTGTTGGGCTACGATGAGATACCTCACCAAGGCACCTATAAAGCACCCTTTTAGTGTGTGCTTTACAAGTGTGACCCACGTAACCCAAGGCTTATAAGACATGGTGTGCAACGCTGCGTAGTACCCCTTGTATGAGTGACCAGTCCTAGATGAAGAGGATGGCACTCTGGAAAACTGGCGTGCGAGAGCACGTCGAGGTCCCCGACAACAAAACGCACAGCTTGTTGCAAGTCATTACAGAATCAACCGCGAGCGGGATGGCACCTAGGTACTATACCTCTGCCATTTCAACAAGGCCTTTCGAACAAACTTTCAAAGAGCCAACTCGCAGGACCCCATCCTCTTAAGGCGCAGCGTAGGCTTTCTACGACCAAGTGATCCTTTCAAGAAACTGACGACGACAAGAACCGCGTGGTGATCTCGACCAGTGGCGTTGCGTTAAGAATGGATTGAATTACTATCTAGCACGTACAAAGTCTCCCCCTGACCCTATGTCCCTCCAAGTACCCCTTTCTTCTCTTTGAAACCCCCAAATCTCCAAACGCCTCGGCACATTTTAGTGTCCGTGAAATCCGACGCCCAAAAAAAACCAGAAAAGCGCCGAAAAGCTCCCCCAATGCGATGCAAGTATTAACAGGTAATTTTGTGAGGAAGTCGTTTGTTTTTTTCATGGCAGCCCTCAATACCCGACAGCGCTGTAATGTGACTGCCGCATCCCAGGCTGCTGCTGGTACAGACTGCTCGCGTACTCGGAGTCCTGGTACACGGTGTTTCTCCGATCCTCTTCGGGGAGGAGCTCCTTGACTTCCCAATTGTGCTGCTTGATGCCGACGCTGAATTCGAGATCTTCGCGGGTGACGGAGTCCCAGTACTGATGCATCCAGTTAGCAAGATTCTCACGCATGTAGAGGGGGTGGGGGTATAACGAACCTTGTAGACCATCATAACACCGAGTAGGTTGCAGATAGTAGCAAAAAAAAGGCCGTCGAGGTAGTGCTGCACGTGGTCACAGATGGTATCGCTGAAGACGTAGAGAATGACCTGGCCAATGACGAAGAAGAACACGCCGAATATGATATCCCCCAAGGGCCAGAGGTCTTGCAACGTGTTGACCACGAGAATGACCTGCGTCACGACGTAGACGAACAGGAAGATGGCGTTGATGATATACAGTGTGACGAATAATGCGACGGGCTTTGTCGGTCCAAGACCAGCCCATCCTTTGAATGTCAAGAGGGCAATTGCGCCTACGATGATGAACCAGGCTAGGGAGGAGAGTCGGAGGAGCCAAACGGATAGCGTCGTGCCGTCTTCGTAGAGTTGGAATCCGACGAAGCCGTTGATCATGAGGCACATGAGTAAGGCGGAGGTGAGGCCGCTTTGGGCGGCGACGAAGTAAGGGTATGTGCCGGAGCCGGGGGGAACTACGCCGGCGTCGAGGATGAGTGAGAATATAGTCAGGATCATGTAGATATAGAAGAAGGAGGTGATTTCTTTGCGGCCTGTACACATCAACTGTCAGCATTCCACTATACCAACTCCGAAGCCTCTTGCGGGTGGGGTTCTCCGGTACGTACCGACGGCAGTGAATTTCGACCGCACGTGGATAATCATGACGACGGTCATTGTGAGGGCGAGGATGTGCATAAAGTCGGCGGCGCCTTGGAAAATGATAGTGTTGGCCAGTTCAATGCTGCGCGAGTAGCATGAGGCTTGAATTCCCACGCCGCCCGCCAGGCTGGACGGAGGGCCTATGACGGCGCATAGCGGTATGGAGGCCTTGTCGCATATTGTGTGGAAGTCACCGAAGCCCATTTTGGGAGCGGTATTGAGGATGTAGAGGGGTGAGGAGGATCGGGGGCGGCTGTGCCTCGCGCAAAACAAAGCTCAGCAGCTGCTGAGGCTCGCGAGACGGTGTCGCCGTTCGGGATGCCGTAGGGGGAGAGCGACCTGGTAATAGAATATAGAGCGACAGTGGGACAGCGAGCGGCGGCGGTAGTGGGAGCGAGAATGGTGGTCGTTGAGGTTGGTGGGCGAGGAATGCAGGTGTTGTCTTCAGGGATAGCGCCAAGCAATCTACTGCAGGGCCCGTCGTCGCTGCAACCGTAGACTAGCATCCCCAGCACGCTTCAAACTGGTTACACTGTCACCGCATGTATATTCTAACATCAGCGACAGCTCTATACTCTTCTGCATGCTTTTTGCATTTCAAATTCTTGACCATGCCTCCCTTCGGACCCCAGAAGCAGCGGATCTCCTCACATTTTCATAATCTATTTATATCCTGCAAAACCTTCACCCCCGAGGTACCGATCCGGACCCATCGCCAATACGGGGGGCCTAGGGGCCTAATATTTCAGCAATTGCAACTATGTAGAGTTGATCAACCCGTGCGCAAAGGATAGGCCTGCACCTTGCAATGCTTGACTATGTTGAGTCTTCGTAAATAAACAGAGTCCATATGGTCCACAATAATTGCATGCTATCACGTCACGCAGCCTTCATGTGGGGATAAAGTATACAGCCGCTGATTTGCTAGCCTACCTACTATAGCAAATGACGTTATTACCCGGATTGATGATTTCTACAGTACCGTGATACAAATCATAATTTCCCGTGTTCCTGGTATCGCATACGCTCTCACGCTCGAGGGGGGAAGTGCGAGACCTCTAACCCCATCATTCGTTTCAATCGCCGGTCAAGTCAATCGTTTCAATCTCTAGCTCTGCCTTGCGTGCTCGCCTCTTCGTACCTGTGGCAAAAGCGGGAAGCTCCTGAAGTGTATCCGTAGTCGTGACGAGGGTATTTGCCAAGAGTGCTTGTGTAGCCGTAGAGGGAGGCTCTTTAGTCGCAGCAGCACTACTACCAAAACGGGCCAATCGGGCTACACGAATTCGTTCAGCATCTCCTCTAGGGTCGACTTCTGCTGCTGGAACTGGCACTTCGGGAGATGCTGTGTTCAGACGACCTAAAAGCTCTCGTGCCATTCGTTGTATCTCCTTCCGTTCTGCCGTATTGCTAGCATCTGGGTCTCTGAACATGTCTAGAGTTTTGGACATCTCTGAGCGAACGTTTACAGTCTTAGCCGGACTGGATTTCGGTTGAAATACAGGTGCTTTAGAAGCTGCCACGGGCGGTAGACTCTGTATTGCTTTTAGGACGTCTGCGCGTGAGGCCACTGAGTTTCGTGGCTTTGGAGTTTTCTGGACATCGACGGCATCGAAGCTCCAAGCTCTACCAGAGCGAATCTCGTCTTTGATAGCTGTAAGGCCTCTAGAAGGAAGAAGTGGCTCCTGAGAGGTGCCGGCAATTGCCTCGAGACGATCGGATAATCCTCTCGGTGAGGGCCGCCGTCGGGTTGGCGAATGCGGGCTCACAAACAGGCCGGGAGAGGATGGCGGTTCAGGCGACATTTGAGCTTGTGGTTTGCTGGCATACTTGGATTTGATGGTGTGGATGTAAGAGGACTTTTGACTTGGTATGCGGCTCGATGGGGTTCCAAGTGGTCCGAAAGGGTTGTTACCAAATCGAGGATTGGTGGACAGCGTAGGTTGCTTTCTCTGTTCTTGTAAGCTGAGTCGGATAGCTTCCCGGAGCTGCTCATCCTCGCTTGCACTGTCTTCCGAGTCCAGCAGGTCAACTACATCTGCCACGGCACTCCGGGCTGATGCCGTCGCCACTGGCGGGTTGTTTGATGAGGTGGGCGTGGAAGGTATAATGAACGGTAAAAAGGTATCCGTGGGCATCCGGAATGCTGGGCGAGACTTTGGCAGGCTCGAAGAAGTCGGCTCGCTCGTTGGAGTGATATGGCTATCTTCTTCAGCAGCCTTCTTCGCTTTGCCCTTGCGTTTCTTTGGGGACGGACGCGGTTGGCCTTCGGTGCCATCTTCTCCTCCCTGAGCCTGCGTCGCTCTCTTCCGTTTCTTCGCAGGTGTCTTCGCCGGTGGATTCAGCACCTCATCCGGCAACGCTTGACGAAGCATACGGTCCAGGATTTCGCACTCAACGCGATAGTCAGGTTCAAACTCATCCTCCCTCTTGCCAGTCCAATAGCCATCGTGAAACCTGTCTTGACTGAGGGAAGATAAATCGAAGGGTGAGAAGGTCAACTTGCTTTCGAACGATGGTAGAACTTCCTCTTCACCGGCTTCCGCAGATTTAGCCGCTCTACGCTTCGTGAGCCTCACGGCATGCGGATTGGATCGTGCGGTCGATATCGAGAGGAAGCGAGCTAGCAGAATTGGGCCTATCCAATTGAAATAGCCCTTAGTCCATATATTGAAGCGTGTACTGATGAACTCCCTTAGGACCTCCTCGTCAAAAGATCTATCCCAGCCGTGGCGAAGACATTCAAGGTTGGCTATTGCTTCGTTGGTAGAAACTAAGGGTTCCCTGTAGTTCTTTACATGTCTTAGTCTCGGATAGTCGTTCCGAACAATAACGTTGCTGGTCGCTTTGGCCCTTCTGAGGAACTCAATCAGGGCGTGTCTCCAGTCTCCCAGATCGTTCTCCGACTTGCAGGCATATAAAGTCTTTGCAAGGCCATGCTTAATCATCTTCATCGCAGTATTGCGACCGCAATTTCTCAGGCCTTCGCGGTCGTAGTCTCCTCCACAGACAACAGCGAAGAGGACAATGTCTTCCTTACTAAGGTGGACGGCTTGGAGGTGTTTGGGACGGATCACCCGCACATGAGTGTTGCTCTTCTTGGTGCCTGCTTTCGAGTGATTCGTCTTCTTCTCCCCTTTCTTCTTCGGTTCCCGGTAGTCGCGAATTAAGAAATCGCATCCGAACATTAGGGCGTCAGCATCCTCGCTCCAGACAGCATCCACGACGCCTAGCTGCTGAAGGCGAACACATTCTGCTTCAGTCTCGGCGGGCGCACGGTAGTGAGGTATACGCAAGGCGTCCAAAAGCTCCTCAGTAAGTTCTCTCGATTTATAGTCGATTCTGCCTGCTGTCTTGCCGTTCTTCCAAGGACGACGCGAACCGTCGAAGACAAACACAAGCTCAATATTCTGCTTTAGAAGTCGACATATTCTCCAGAACAATTGCTTCTCGATTCCCTGGAACGCTGGCTCACCGGACTTCTCCCGGATGGCCTTGACCTGGTGCTCATTTATATTGTTGAAGCGCCAGCCAGCCTCATCCACAGCAATGCGCAGGGGCCGTCGTGTTCTCTGGAAGTGCTTGGTGGCCAGCTGGGCAGTCTCTACAATGTCGCCATCTCCAAGAAGTTCCCAAAGCCTGTAAGTGGTTAGTCGATGGCCAGTCATCAAGTCGTGTACACGGTCATGTCAGGTCTGAGGTGGCTCAACGTGTTAACGGAATACGTATATGTATCGTGTTCACGTGTCTGTGAGGGCAGCTCAAACGGTGGCAAGACGGTGTGCACAGGTCTAGCACGACCACCGTTAAACAAGCCGGGGAGGAATGCGACGTACAAGGGGGCTACCTGAGCGGGCTGCCGGCGCTCCCTGCTAGCGCTGGCGTTGTTTTAGCCACAGTAAGCGTATTATAAATCTGCAGAAGCCAC